ATAATCCACCGTTTGAGCGCTGTTCATTGCCACATTTCCACGTTTTTTTTTTGACTTTCAATCGGCGTCTAATTTGAGCCAAAAAAAAACTCTGATTGGTCTCGTTTTTCATAAAAATGAATCATTATTTTTTCAAAGATTAGTTTATTTTTGTTGGCACATGCTTTTGACTCTCTGTTTACAGAGAACTTTTTTGACTTTCGACTTTGAGAATCTACCGAGATTCGAGAGATGAAAAGGAACAAGGCTTTTGAGGGAAGCAGAAGCACTCAATGAGAGCTTTTCACTCCTCGCATTTCCGGTTCTTGACCATTTCAAACCGATCTCTTGACTTCAAGAATCTTGTTATCAAGATTCAGCAGTTTAATCTTTGATTTTTCAGTAGAACTCAAACAAAAAAGCTTCCTTTGATCCAGGAAACAAGGACTACAGGGGGCGGAAAAAGTTCTGTCCTTTTTAAATTCTCTTGAATTGAATTCTCTCCGATTTTTATTATTACATAAGTGTTTATAGCCAAAAGATAGTCAATCTTTTACAGAATTTAAAACTTATTACTGCTTTTAAAAAACTTCTTTAGATTTTGAGTTATCACAATTTGCGTGAGCTCTGTGGTCACACCAGTTATTAGTATTACCGGTATAAGAAAATCTATCAAACTTAGAACTCATACGATTAAGAGTATTCAAAATAATTGTTTGTCAGAGCTTATTTATTGTTTTTTTTTTGTAATCTTTATAGAAATTTTTGCAATGAAAAAGTGAAAAATATATGCGACCACAGATATTAAAGATAATTTAAAAAAGGACAGAACTTTCGCCGTACTCTGTATGAATATGGATAACTCAAAATCTAAAGTTATTTAAAACTGTAATAAGATTTAAATTCTGTAAAAGATTGGCTATCTTTTGGCTATAAACACTTATGAAATAAAATTAATCGGGAAGCTTTTAGAGAGAATTTAAAAAAGGACAGAACTTTCGCCGCACCCTGTATATACCGTATTCCTTCGAATAGAAGACCGGGTAAAGAGTATCATCGCGTACTCCTGCGTAGCAGCCCTTTTTAAAGGGCTGCCCTTCTTTTCTGCATAAAAGCTTTCAATCAAGTGCTATAGGGCTGGAAAATGACTCAAAAATACGACATGAGCTAACATTGAAGAGATTTTTGTGTGAATGGGTCGAGAGTTGAATTCAACAAAAAGCGATGGTGTGAATGGGAGGATGGATGACAAAGAGAGAGAGTGGTTGGGATGGGTATGATTCTCCTCATCTTCGTTCCGTCCATTCTCAACGTCTTTCGTTGTTGTGTGCATCCTTTGCTGTAGTTGTTTTGTTTCTCTCGGAGATGAGAAGCGACTCGCCCTTTTACCCCTTTCCCTTTTTTTTCGTTCTTTGTTTGAATGCATGATGCTTTTCAGCTTTGAATCACACCCCAACCACACCTTCTGATCTTTTTTTTCTATCCATTCTTCACGACACCTTTTCTTTTCGAAAAAAACCATCTCAATCTGTCACCTATATTCAACTTCATAGTTTATTTTGAGATTGTCATTAACATGTGTCATTTTGTTCTCTTGTCTATCGATAGAATATTGATAGATAGAATTGTCTATCGATTGTTCCCTTCTTGAGCGTCACTATGATCAAATCTTTGAGAGCAATTCTTGCTTTAAATATCGATAGATAGAATCGTTTATCGATTGTTCCCTTCTTGAGCGTCACTATGATCAAATCTTTGAAAGCTCCTTTATAGTTCCTTTATAGTTCCTATTTAGTTCCTTTAAAGCCAAATCTAGAGCAATTCTTGCTTTAGATTTGGCTGTAAATTTGACTACAAATTCGATATCGCTAACGAAAACTAACTGAAATATTAAACTGATTCGAAATGATAGAAACTGATTCAAAATGGTAGAAATGTTTTAAACTGATTCGAAAAGGTGATTTCATCTTTTAATACCTGATAAAATCGCATAACTGAACGATAAATGATTGATAAAACGATTTACTTTAACCATTTCTACATGAGTCTCTTATTCGATGTAAACCGACATGATGAGCTTTCTTTTCGGCTATTTTTTTTGACTCAAGATTTAGGAAAACGAAACAAAGTTCAACTTACTTTCTCCAAAAATAGTAAGATAGTTTTTACTTAAATTCACATCTTAGAAAACGCTTTACTTTTTCATTTTACTTTTATTTTTAGATATTCTTGTTTTTTGAAATAAATTACTCAAAATTTCAATTACTTTTTATATTTCAGGACTCAATGATCACCATCATTCGCCCGTATGAGCCACCGCCAGATTATGTGAGTTTCAAGCAAGATTTTCAAGATTTTCAAGATTTTCATAAAAGTTTTTCTAATGTTCGCAACTTTTTGAATGATTTATTTGTTTTCAAAACGTTTTCTCTTACTCTAGATGAGTTTCGGAGAAAATTCCAATGAATTTCCCAACACTTTTTTCGGGAAAATTTCGATTCGCTCACGTTTTTCTCGAATTTGATTCTCCTCTTTTCTCTCGAATTTCAAAAGCCAGCATTTTGAATTTCAAATTGCCCTGTTGTTCTCTCTTGAATTGATTTATAAGTTCCTAGCACTTTATCATTCGATCTACAATCTATTTATTCCCCAACTCGACTTATTCAGAAGCTATCACTTCAGCAGTCTCCGAAAGCGCGAATAAAGTCTATCGCTCGGTTTTACATTGATTGATAAGCTCTTGTCGAAAGAGGGGAATAATATAGACTTGACAAAAAGAAAAAGAATAGAAAAGAGAGAACGATTGGGGAATGTGTTTGGCTTTGAATAGTTTCCCAAGAGCTACCAGTCTTCCTCCTTTTCTGCTCAAGAGAGATGGAGATAGAAGACATGCAGCTGGAGGGGTAAGAGGGGGGAGTCATGTGCAAAAGAGTCAAAAAGTCTTTCTCATACACACCAAGTCACTAGGTCTTTCTCTTCATTTTTCGGTTGTGCAGTTGTGCCGGTGGTTGGTGGGACTGCTGTATTGACTGTGTACATAGGGGCATCAGTGGAGGGGGATGCTCCCGTCTGTGTCTCAGCTCTTTTGTCGGGGTGAGGCTGGTCGTGGTTCTCAGCCAACAAGAAGACCGAATCCTCTTTTCTGTGAATTCTATACCTGCTTCGTCAATCCTCATATTGACTCTCATAATCATTTTATGTTGTTCTTTGTTTTCTTTGAGGCGTTTATTGTGTTTCTTATTCTTTGTTTTATCTATTAAAAAGGTTTTATTTATTAAAAGGGTTTAATTAATGAGGTGAAATGTCTTTTCCTTTCTCAATACTAAAAATTGAGAGTTATTTCGTTATGTTAAAATGTTTTTGCCTTTATCAAAATGTCTTTACCTTTGTCAAAATCTCTCCATCTTTTTTCCATCCATCAAAATCAATTTCGAAATCTCAATACTCTATAAAAACCCTTTCAAAGATTTTGAGTGTTGTGACTTTCCCAATAATTACCTGAATCTTAAAGTGCGTCTGTGTGAGATGGTGGTAGTTGTAGACAAGGATTGGAGAGGGAAAAGGTAGACGGACAATGGCACTCCCGTCTTTGGCACATACATGCCAATGAATGCCCCTTTCCACTTAGAGACAGTCTCTTCCCCTCCTCCCATTCTCCTCTCATTCCCTTTTTTTTCTTCTTCATTTCTTTCCGTTGACCCCTTTTACTCACGTTTACTTAACCTCTTTAAAAAGTTTTGAAAAAGAAAAGACTATTGAGGACCAAAAATTGAGAAATTCATTGAAAAAATAATTTGTTAGTTATACCTGGCTATTCGAGCGCTTGCATAAAAGATATCACAAGGCGTCATCTTGTTCGGGTCACCGGACAACAAGGTCACAAAAACGTGTTCAAAGAAGAAGACAAGAAGATATTGAAGGGATATCCATCCCCATTCATCCTCATACAGACCCGAGCCTCCCCTCAGCTCATCCCTTTCTCTTCCTCCTCCTCTTCCTCTTCCCTCTTTCTCTTTCTCGACTCTCTCGTTCTCCTCTCCTTTTCTCAATCTTTGTGAATCGAGATAATCGAAAACTCATCCCATCTCTTTCATTGTTTTCCTCGAAACATCATTTTCACTTTCATTTTACTTTTAGCTACTTTCTTTTAAGATCTGCAAAAATTTCTTCTCTATCATTTTATTTCAATTTTATTTCAATCAATGGGCCTTTCCCTTTTCTAATTGAAATCTAAATTAAACGCTCATTAATAAAGCCAATAAAGTTTCTTTTTTGTTTTCAATAAAATATTCTAGTTTTAAACTATTCGCCTGAACGGAATCAATCAATCCTAGAACGGAATCAATCCTATCATTTCTCGAGTTCTTTCCTTAAAAACAATTTATGCCAGTAAACTATAATAGCAATAAAAATTGTTTCACAAAAAAAACAGAAATTCTTGGAGCTAGAAAAAGGGATTCGATTTTCAGCCGTTCGACGACGAAACGAGCAACGAAAACGAGGAAAAACGAGGCGATTCATCGAACGTTTCAAAGGTTTTTGTATGAAGAGATTTATCGAACTTGTTTGGAAATTCATTTTATAAAACATTTTATAAAACTCTTTTCTAGGAAACCTCGATTCTTACCTCAAAATTTCCCAAGAGAACCGATGGGAATGAGATGCTGAGAACAAGACAATATCCGGAGGTTTTGTTTTTTGTTTTGGAAAATTTCCTTTTAAGTGTTAAACGCAACAACTTTTCAGGTAGCCGGACTTTTATTGTGGCGATGAGAAAGTTCCAGCTCTCAGGAGATTCACTAGGTAATTTGAGCGCCTAATTGTGTTTATTTTAAAGATGAGACCATTGTAGGTATAATCAGTCGATGAGTCAACGTGAACACCCCTCAAACACAATTCCCGTTCAATCATTCACTTCTAATGGAAGTTGCACAAAATCTTTCACAAAGAAATCGCATTTTAACTTTGGAAATTGGACTTTCCGGGAGAAGAAACAGAGTCGACCGGGTTTGCCAATCGAAATGCAACCAAAAAGGTTTGTGCTCTTCACAAAACATTTACAGAATGTTTAAAGTTGTTAAATCTAGAAAAATCAGCACAAATCTTATTTAGATATGAACGTCCAGCCTCGGTAAATCTTTCTGATGTTAGAAATCTTCGGAGTCGAAGCGAAGGTGGAAGACTTATTGAAGAAAGACCAAAAGAAGAGACACAAGAATACAGGTTTAGAAAAAAATCGGGAGTGGAACAAGTGCGACCTTTTTTTGCGCACCCGGACATTTGCGCACCTTTTTTTCCGCAACTTGCCCATTAGCGCACCTTATTCGCGTTTTAAAAAAGCTCTGAAAAGCTAATATTAACCAATTTCTATTCCAAAAGTTGTTTTTCTAGGTAATTTGAGGGCGTAGAATCGAAATTTTGACATAACAGAGCGTGTGGAACCAATTTGAAAGAAGGCGATAAGGTGACAATTGTTAAAAGAGATTTAGTCCCTATTTAGTTCCTATTTAGTTCCTATTTGGTTCCTATTTAGTGCCTTTATAGTTTCTATTTAGTTCCCAATTACCAATTTGAAAGACAAAACGGCTAGATCAAATTACAGAAAATTGTCGATTTTCCTCTTTGTATAACTCCGTCCGTTTGTTTCCACAAGCTCTGATATGTCCAAATTTCGATTCTACGCCCTAAAATTACCTAGAAAAACAACTTTTGGAATAGAAATGGGCAAGGTGCGGAGAAAAAAGGTGCGCAAATGTTCGGGTGCGCAAAAAAAAGGTCGCATTTGTCCCACTCCCAAAAAATCAAAAAATTCATTTCGAAAAAGCTCATTGAGTTTTTGCAGCTGTAGAATTCCGATTCGTGTGGAACGAGTGCCATTGCAAGAAAGCGTTCGCTCGACAAATAATCGTGTCTTTTTTCGAAGTCAACCCCCGCCTCAACAAAAAGGTTTTCTTTTTTCGAAGATTTTTTGTTTTCAATAAAATATTCTAGTTTTAAACTATTCGCCTGAACGGAATCAATCAATCCTAGAACGGAATCAACCCTATCAAACACCAAAGTTTAAATCAGAGTATTCAATCTTTGAATGATTTTAAAAGTTTTCAAATTTTAGAACATCTCTTGAAAAAGCAGCTACTCTTCAACAGGAAAATGATTCATTATGTGTAAATTTGGGTGAACATCGAATTAGTAAGAAAAGGAATCGACGAAGAGACAAAACTCGAGATGCTTGGAGGAGTAAAGAAGTGACGGTAAATTAAAAGATCAAGATTAAAAGATTGTATAAAAGAAAACAATATATTGGGTTGTCCAGTTATGAATGCGCGTTTTTTACTATTCTGTAAATTTCTCAAGATACCGAAATCAAGAAAGAGATATATATGAGTATTATTCGAAAGCTGAAGATCTCCTCTACATTACAAATTCCAAAGCATTTTATATCAAAATGTAGAGGAGATCTTCAGCTTTCGAATGATATATAACACTCATATACATCTGTTCGATATCTTGAGAAATTTACAAAATAGTAAAAACGCGCATTCATAACTGGACAACCCAATAAAATCTTGCATATAATGTCAATTTCAGAATTGGAGTCTCGATGATATTCTCGTTTGGTTGCAAGCAATTCGATTAGATGAAGTGGCCTCACTTTTTGTTGGATATGATTTAAAGGACCTGATCTCAATCAATGGGATCATCAAATCCTCAGTAATGAAAAATCTAATTAACTAATGTTTTTTTTTCCAGCTCAACTTGGCGTAAACGATTCAAGAATTCGCTCAAAGATTCTCACAGAACTGGAAATTGTGAGAAAAGGGGGACCATTGAAAGATGGTGAGAAGAACGATCGGCAAACAACAAGCATGTTTGATTTAGTGCGAAACACTGAGTTTGATCAGGTTTGAAAATTGATTTCAGCTTTGAATAGCTTTTTTTTGATTAAGGTATTAGCATTTGAGACAGCTCTAACCCCAAGAGATCTCTCTGTAACTGGCGGTAGAATGGGATGTCTTCAAGTAACGAAAGTTGACGGATCGTGTCTTCCATTTAAAGAAAATGATTGGTAAGTCGTGCATTATTTAAGAAATTATCGTATTCTACTCAAAAGCTTCTTAATTTTGATGATCATTTATAAATCTATATGTCGTAGCCGATTATGAATTTCAGCCGATTATGAATGAGCGGGTCCGGATGCGTCCAACCATCAAGTATTTGGTATCATTCAACGCAGGATCATTAATAATTATGTTAAATTTTTTAAATTAGAAAGATTGGATAAAAAGAAAAAAATTATGGAGCCTCAAAGTTTCCTCTTGAACAAACAGTTTTTTTGCTCTAATTTTTTTTCTTTTTATCAAATCTTTCTAATTTTAAAAATTTAACATAATTATTAATGATTCTGCGTTGAATGATACCAAATACTTGATGGTTGGACGCTCCTAGACCCGCTCATTCATAATCGGCTGAAATTCATAATCAGCTACGGGGGTCCCGCCGATTTTGAATGAAACGTTCTAGCGCCGGTAATTTTTAACCTAAACTCACAAATTTGGTACCAATCGACGCAGAATTTAATTCGCTACAGGATGATATAATATTGTCCTCATACATTAAAGGGTTGCTCTACTAGAAAGATTTACCAAAAAATTTCATTCATAATCGGCTACGACATATATAAGAAACGTTTAGTCTTCTTGAGATCAATGGTGTGTCGGGGGAACAGTTTAAATCAGCGTTGATGCTCACAAAATTCATCAGGTTATACTTGTATAAAAAAAAAATTTATATAATTTCTTATGTAGTGATGCGGATGGGCAACCGATTCGTTTTGTGATTTTGAGAAGAAAAGAAAAAGAAGACGATTCGACTAGCCAGGTAGGTCTGATTACAAAGAAAACAGCGTTTGAATAATTTGTTGATTTTATCGTATTAGCATTTGATCATTTGTATGTAAAGAGTATATTTATTCACACGAATAATGTGGTACAAACAATACAAAAGCACAACTTTTTAGTCCTAAATGTAGGGGAGCAAAAAAAAAACCCAGATCTAGATTAAAAAAAAAAATCGATGATCTAATGAGCGAGATCGAACTCTTCACCTCTCGACTAAGACACAGGGCTCTTAGCCACTCGGCTATGCCGGCCATATCACTCGCTTCCAATATCAGTATTATTTAGACGGACTCCTCATCCGGGATTTCCTCATCTCCTCTTACTCCCGTCGAAAATGTCGTGTAAATATCGATTCTAAAAGATTTTCTTTCATCTTTTAATTTTCATTTTCACAAAAGCTCTTTTCCACGAAGCTCTTTCAGATTTCTAGAAAATTTTCGCCTAGCGATAAGCCTACGATACAGTATTTTGCTGTGGCTTCTGTATCCCCTACTTTTTTTTGCATCTAAATATCTGGATAGTCACCGATTGTGTAATATATGATTTGTGATCGATGTGCTATCAAAGCTATTGTTGATAAAACTGCATTTATTCACAGGACACATTTTACTGCATCATCACTTCATGTGCAGAAAAGGAAAGAAATGTTTTGTGCTTTTGATTGAGTCATAAAGTTGAGGAGAATAGTTGCGAGTGGAGGTGTCAAAAAGTGGGAGAGGGGAAAGTGGTCAGGGGGTAAAGGCGAAGATCCCAATGAGAGTCCCCCAAATCGTCTACCCAACACTTGGGATAGAAAGATGCGACAGGAAGAAGGGACCGAGCTCCACCAGGGACCAAGCGACTGACTAATCGAAGCCAAGATTAACCGCTCTTCTTTTTCGCTCTTTTCTCATCCACAGCCAGCCCTTGCCCGCTTTTTCTTTGCTTCCATCTCGAACCCAGAAAGGTGCGTTGTAACACGTCCCCTAAACGGTGCAGCTGGGACTCTGAAAGATGGTGAGAGACCAGATCACAAATGAAAAGAGAAAGAGAGAAAACGAAAGGGACAGCCACTCTCAGCATTGAGCAGAGCCCCATCTCGATCCATCCACCTTTTCTCCTTTTCTTCTTTTCTTTCACTGGATCGACTCCTAGCTTTCCTTTCCTCACTTTGACAAGACTCTCAACCCGTCTTCTATTTTACTCAACTCATATCACCTTTCCGATTTGACACTAAAAAAAACTGTTCGTCTTCTCAAATGTATTTTGCCTTGTTCTCTAGGAATTTTTATTTCCTTAAACTTCTTGAAGCTATAAAACTAATTTCTACATTTTATTTGAAGACTAATCAATAATGGAAAGCTATTAATGTATGAAATGAAAGTGGGGGAATGTTAGGGTTGCTAGTCGGAGCACAGCTGGGCCATATGTAGTGAAGGGAAGCTGGGGGGTAGAAGAAGTGGTGTGTTTATAAAAGTGCACAAATCGGAGGGTCTCAAGCTTTCTTGACCCTTTCCCCTTTCCTCCATCGTTCTTTTCATTAACCCCTTTCCTTTTAACCATCTCTTTACCCAATTATTTGATATTTAAACTCAATTCAATGTGTAGGTGTATAATTACCTGAATCTTAAAGTGCGTCTGTGTGAGATGGTGGTAGTTGTAGACAAGGATTGGAGAGGGAAAAGGTAGACGGACAATGGCACTCCCAAAACATTTCTTCTGAGTTCAGCTTTAGCCGTTAGCCAAAAATGCGTTAGCCAAGATAACAACAGACAGGATTACGGTAGTCAAAGATTGTCAAAGACAAAGATATAACACTAATGAAGTTAAGTTTTTGAATCCTCCTAAACACTGACTTTTCCACCGTATTCATTCGTTTTTTGTGAACTTTCTTGCTTTAACTTACTGTAGTTTTCATTCATTTTTTTACTTTAAATAATTGATTAAAACGCCATAAATGCTCATCATTGTTCTCAATTTTACTTTAAATAATTGAGTATTTTGTTTTCTTGAATTTCTTGCATTGATTGTCTAGGGGTGTAAATTGGAAAAGAAAAGTAGCCGCCCGAGGTGTCATCATCGGCTCTGCGATCAAGCGGAGAAAGAGCGGCTGCTGCAAAAATGCGGCGCTGGAAGAAGCTCGATCTCGCCCTTATAGGTCAATAATACAATCAATGATGAAAAGATTTTAATGAAAGATACAATTTTAGATATGACTTAAATAAGTTAGACAACTAATAAAAACATTTACTCTGTTTCTTATGCATTTTTTGCTAATGTAAGAAGAAGTAACGAAGAACAAGAACTGATTTATCATATTAACTTTTAGTCTTAGTTTAATTGTGATTGAAAATAAGCCAAATTATATAAAACGCCATAAATGCCCATCATTGTTCAAGGTTTTTTGTCAAATAATCGAACCATTCTAGGTGTATGTCTATTAGCGATTTTGGTGAGAGAGGGTGAGGCGGCGGCTGCCTGTAAGGGATGCGCTCCTCCTTGTGTATGCCCTGGACAAAAAGGAGAACGGGTTCGTTTTTGTTTTGATTTACTCACAGTCACATTTTTTTTTTTGCAATAAAGTTTACAAGTTTCTTTCACCTTTTTCATTGATCCATTCTCGTTATGCAAAGACAACTTGAAAAGAATAGAAAATAAAGTTGCGCCATTTGAAATCCCTTCCAGGCAACAGCTGTTACGATTCGTTGACTTTCAAAAAAACTTTCCATCCTTTTTTTGATTGGCAATTCCAGCTGGAAAGAACCTCACTGGCTGCTGAAATCTCTAGTCTTGCCTAAGAAAAAAGTTGAATAATGATCTTGATATTGGAATGAAGAGAGACACCACTGTTAACCCAAAACCGAGATTACTATTCAACTATGAGTATTTCGTTGAATAGAGAAAAAAGTAGCAACAAATAAATGCCGTTGCATAAATTATAAACATTTATTTTAGGGTCTTCCCGGTTTTGCTGGTCCAGAAGGTCATCCAGGCTCTCCAGGAGAAGATGGATCTGAAGGAATGATTGGAGCACCCGGAATGATGGGAGCTGAAGGAGATTTCGGAGACATGGGACCAAAAGTGACTTATTAAAGCTTTTCTTGATGAAATTCTGCTTTAGGGTCCTCGAGGAGATCGCGGTTTACCAGGAGCTCCCGGTCATCCCGGACTTCCTGGATTGGATGGATTCCGAGGCTTGAAAGGAGAAGAAGGAATCCCTGGATGCAATGGAACGGATGTAAGTTGAAAACGTTGAAACTTTTAGACTAATCGCTTTTGATTGTAACTAAAAAGCTAGTTCTCGACCGCTCTATGTAACCTTATACATTACTCGTATTCTTAGTCAGACTAGGATTCGTTTTTTTTAAATAAATCAGTGAAATTTTTGAAAGATAGCGGGTGTTACAATGATCAAAAGATAAATTTGTGTCAAGAAAATGGAGAAACGAGAGGGTAAAGAAGGGAGAGAAGAGATTGAAGGATGGGAGTCCATTGGCCGAGAGTCGACAAGAGAAAAGGAAGCTCTTGGTGTAAAATGCGAGCTGGTTGCTTCAAATGCATTCCCCTCTAGTAGCATTTGATTGATCCACATTTGAAAACTTTATATCTGAAGAAGGAAATAAAGCTAAATCAGTGAAAGTAATGTGCATTTTAGGGTACGCCTGGAAGACCTGGATTGCCTGGATATCCAGGTCAACCGGGAGAACAAGGGCGATCTGGAATTCCTGGTGAGAGAGGTCAACCTGGAGATGGAGGCATCAATTCTGATGGAAGGAAGGGAGAAAGGGGTAACCCGGGACACCCTGGAACACCTGGAACACACGGATCACCTGGACACCCTGGAGCTAAAGGAGGCAAAGGAGACCAAGGACCGGTAGATTTGTGAATGCTGTCGTTTATTAAATCTTTGCTTAGTGGGGTTTACCTGGTTTCCCAGGACCACTTGGAGAAAAAGGACGAATGGGATTGAGAACACCTGGAATGAAAGGAGAAAAAAGGTCTTCCGGACCACCAGGACCTCCTGGACAATCTGGTGTTTGGCCTGAGATCAAACAACCGCCAGAGATCGAGATTTTGCAAGGTCCACAAGGAATGCCAGGTTTTTTTTTACATGAATTTATTATTACAAAGTTGAGAAATTTAGGAACCAAAGGAGAGAAGGGAAGAAATGGACCTGTCGGACAACCTGGATTCCCTGGAAGAGAGGGTGAACCCGGTTATGCAGGGCTTAAAGGAGACAAAGGAGATCATGGAGATTTTGGAGAAAGAGTAAATGGCGTGATGAAATTCCTGAAATTTTAAAACTTTAGGGAAAAAGAGGAAAAGATGGAAACATGGGACTTCATGGTGAAAAGGGATCGGGTGGAGAACAAGGTAAAACAAAGAATCTATTAACCTCTAAATGACGTTTAGGATTGAACGGTTTACCTGGGATTCCTGGTCACAAAGGAGAAGCAGGCGAGCCTGGATATGATGGACGACAGGGAGAGGAAGGAGAATGCGGACCAGAAGGACCAATTGGAAAAGGCACGGGTGAAGCGGGACCTCGAGGACCTCAAGGAATCGATGGAGTGCCTGGAGAAGCTGGAGAACCTGGAAGATCTGGACTACCAGGTTCTGTTGGATGGAGAGGACCGGTTGGATATCCAGGATCCCCTGGAGCACCTGGAATTTCCGGACTTCCTGGATTCAGCGAAAAGGTTGGTATTGTTTATACGACAAAGATTGCCTAGTTATTGTGGTTCACTTCCAAATTTCAGGGAGACCGTGGGTCAGATGGATATCCCGGATTTGTTGGCTCACCTGGTATCCCTGGAGAAGATGGAGATTGTGGCCTTCCCGGCGAAGACGGCCCACCTGGTTTTGATATTCAGGTAAAAAACAAATACGCAAAAACTAAAAGTGATTCTAGGGACCACCCGGTGCTGATGGTTTGTCTGGTCGTGATGGTTATCCTGGAATTCCTGGAACAGTCGGAGATCCTGGTTTCTCTGGAGAAAAAGGATTTCCCGGTACAGGAGTGAACAAAGTCGGCCCAGCTGGTTTGCCAGGACTTCCTGGTGATCCGGGACCAAATGGTAATCAAATAAAAGCTCTTTCTATAATATTATTGTGCTTGAGGTCGAATTGGTATTGACGGACCGCCTGGATTTCCTGGAGTTTCTGGTGAAAAAGGAGATGATTGTGGATACTGTCCTGACGGTCTTGCTGGTCTTCCTGGTGATGTTGGAGCACCTGGCCTTGATGGGTGAATAAGATTCTGAATTTATCATATACCAATCAAAAATTTTAGTTTCCCAGGACCACCAGGACCATATGGAGATGAAGGAGAGTGCGGTGAACCTGGTTTGTCGGGTAAAGCTGGAGCTCCCGGTTCTGATGGATTGCCTGTGAGTTTCCCACTTTTTAAAAAATTTAATTTTAATTTAGGGACTCGAGGGACCTCCAGGATTGCCTGGTTACGCTGGACCAAAGGGAGAAATGGGTAATGCGCCCATAAATTTTCTATAATATTTATTACGTTAAGGAGAGATTGTCGGTCCGATTGAAAACCCGCCTGGCATTCCTGGGCCAAAGGGAGAACGAGGCCTACCAGGGTACCCAGGATCGGATGGAAGTTCTGGATTGGGAGGTCCTTCTGGTCCTCCTGGTCCTCCTGGCTTGCCTGGAAATCCTGGTGAACAGGGTCTTGTCGGAATTGAAGGAAAGAAGGGACGCGATGGAGCTGTAAGCATTCAGAAAAAGAAACTTTAAGACAACTGGCTTCAGCTTGGCTTCCCTGGAGCACCTGGACTGCCTGGAGATAACTTCCCTGGGTTGCCCGGCACACCTGGATTGAAAGGCAAATTGAAAAATAAAGCAAGTAATACGTTAGTTTAGGATTCCCTGGAGAGGCAGGACTTCCCGGTACACCAGGCCTTCCAGGACCAAGAGGTATCGACGCACCTTGGCGTGAAGTCAAGCCCGGACCACCAGGACTACCTGGACAAGATGGACGTCCAGGAGAAGAAGGCGAATGTGGAGATGAAGGACTGCCTGGATTCCCTGTATGTTTCTCTTTTTGAGTTGAGAGAAATCAAATTCAGGGACAACCAGGTCAAGATGGCTACCCTGGAGCCCCTGGAGAACGCGGTGGTGATGGAATGCCCGGTTTCCCCGGACTTCACGGAGAGCCAGGATATCGAGGACAGCAAGTAAAAAAACTGAGATTCCAAAAAATTCGATCAATTTTTCTAGGGAGATGTGGGCTTAAATGGATTAGATGGCGAGTGTGGAGAAGAAGGAGCTCCTGGTTTCCTGGAGCGCCAGGTCTCCCAGGTAGGTTAAATTCAAGCCAAAATCTCAAGCTTTTATTTATTTCAAATTCTATTTCAAATCTTTTATGCTACTTTGTTCTAGGTCAACGAGGAGAGCCTGGTTATGGTTATCCAGGACAAGCTGGAATCCCTGGAGAACCAGGTGAATGCGGCGAAGATGGTTTCCCGGGGGTACCTGGAAGACAAGGACAACCAGGACAACCCGGTTTGCCAGGTTAGAGCTTATTTTTCATTATTATCAAATATCAAGTAAAAATCAAGGATCAAAATCAATTTCAGGACATCCGGGAGAGCGTGGGATGGATGGCCCTGCTGGACCTGATGGACTTCCCGGAATTCCTGGAGAAGTATTTCTTTTCTTCACAGTACCTAATTATTTGGAATATGTAGTTCTAATTTAAAAATTTCATTTTAGGTTGGACTTCCTGGAATCCCTGGCAAACAAGGCCGGCTAGGAGCAATTGGTTGCCCTGGTAAACCTGGTCTACCAGGTTATAGAGGTGAAAGTGGACAAGCTGGTCAACCTGGATATGCTGGAGCACCGGGACTTCCTGGAGAGAATGGATTGCCTGGAGTACCTGGAAGAGAAGGAGCTCCCGGTGAACCTGGAAGACCTGGAGAAGATGGAAGCATTGGATTCCCGGGACTTCACGGAGAGCCTGGCATGCCTGGACTACCTGGAACCGAGGGATATCCTGGAGAAGAAGGCGAGTGTGGTGAAGATGGACTTCCTGGATTGTCTGGAGAACGTGGAGCTGATGGTTGGTTTAACTGAATGCTTTCACCTTTGGCTAATAATACTTTGATATTGTTTCCAGGCTTACCTGGATTGCCTGGACGAGATGGTTTGGAGGGAGAAGGTGGGCTGCCAGGAGATGATGGATTGCCGGGATTGCCCGGTCTTCCTGGAGAGCCTGGTAATCTTGCTCGACCCGGATTGCCTGGAGATCTTGGACTACCTGGAATGGATGGCCTTCCTGGAGACGCTGGTCTTCCTGGTCTTGAAGGTGACTGCGGTCCTGAAGGAGAGCCTGGACAGTCATACCCTGGACAACCTGGATTGGCTGGTCCTGAGGGTGAGCCTGGATATGATGGTGGAGATGGACTTCCCGGAACTCCTGGCTATCCAGGAATCACCGGTCGACCGGGAGCTAAAGGAGAAAATGGAGACAACGGACTTCCTGGATACCGGTAGTTGACTAGTTTGAAAATCTCAAACTTTATTTCAGTGGAACCGATGGACGGTCAGGAGAAGAAGGAGAATGCGGCGAGCCTGGAGTCCCAGGTCAACCTGGTTACCCTGGACAAGCTGGAGCACCTGTGAGCAAATCTAAAAAAAATTATGCTTTATCTAACTGTTTCAGGGACTCGCTGGATACCCCGGAGAAGCCGGTTTCCCAGGTCTTCCTGGTGACAATGGACTGCCTGGAATTCCCGGACAATCTGGTAATTTAAAATATCAATAATTAATTAAATAGTTGATATTTCTAGGACTTCCTGGCCTCAAGGGAGAAGCGGGAAGCGCTGGACTGCCTGGGTACCACGGCGCTCCTGGTTTGCTTGGATATCCGGTATTATTTACTTGCAAAAATTTAACCTGTGATCACTGCAGGGAGAGGCTGGACTGCCTGGAGCGGACGGACTTCCAGGAGATGATGGTATCCCTGGTGTGCCTGGTGGGCCTGGAGAGGAGGGTGAATGTGGAGAAGAAGGAGGCCCTGGATATCCCGGACAACCTGGATTACCCGGTATTTGAAAATTGCGCGCTCAAAAATGATTTTATTTTCAGGACCCATTGGTCCACCCGGATGTAATGGATTGCCTGGAGCTCCTGGCAGAGATTCTCCTGGATCATCAGGATTGCCAGGTTTAAAAGCTTTCTAGTAAAAGGATACCTGTTACTTTTTAGGAGAAGCCGGTCTTCCCGGCCGTGATGGATATCCCGGAGCTCCAGGTCTTCCTGGAGAGCGCGGAGATGATGGACTGCCTGGAACACCTGGATACCCAGGAATGCATGGAGAACCTGGTTTACCTGGAGGACCTGGCGAGAGAGGACTTGTCGGTCTTAATGGAAAAGATGGGAGGTAAATTTGTCATGTTGAAAAATATAAAAGCAACAAATTCTAGGGATGGACAACCTGGTGTTCCTGGATTCCCAGGTCAAGATGGCTTGCCCGGTGTAGAGGGAGATTGTGGAGATGATGGTTTCCCTGGTCTTCCCGGTCTTGAAGGCACTCCTGGTTACCCTGGAAGTAGAGGAGATGCTGGATTGCCTGGAGCTCCTGGTTATCGTGGAGACAACGGAGTGCCCGGACTATCAGGAGCACCAGGATTACAAGGTAAAATAAAAGTGTTGTGTTGGTTTAGAAGTATTTTAAGGAGCTCGAGGAGATGATGGACTTCCTGGATTTGATGGAAAATCCGGAGTTCCCGGTCGCCCTGGAGTTCCTGGCCCTCCAGGAGCATCTGATATGACACAACGAGGTCTCCCCGGTGCACCTGGAGATGATGGATATCCCGGAGAGAAGGGTTACCCGGGAGAGAATGGAAATAGAGGTAATTACGGGGAACTCGATGAAAAACCTTTTCTTGCAGGCTTGCCAGGACCAAACGGTGCAGCTGGTTTCCCTGGATCGCTTGGAATTCCGGGAAGCCCGGGAGTTTCTGGAGTTTCTGGATACAAGGGAGAAAATGGAGATGCTGGTTTGGTCGGTGTTCTCGGTAGAGCCGGTCATCCGGGACCTCCAGGACCTCCTGGTTTCCCTGGTGTGCCCGGACCAATCGCTCCAAGCAGAGGATTCACTTACACCAAGCACTCGCAAACCACTCAGGTATAAGAAAACGTTTTTCAATAAGTTTGTTTGTCAAAACTTTTACGTTAGTAACGAGGAGTTTAGGTGCCAACTTGTGCCGATGGAACTCAACCACTTTGGACCGGATATTCACTTCTCTATGTACAAGGAAACGGACGTGCCTCAGGACAAGATCTTGGTTAGTCAAAATATCAGGGGCTCACCGGAAAGTGTTCGCTTTTTTAAAGGGTACTTTTTGAAAAGAATAATGAACAGTCGATCTATGATTTGATAGATAAATTTTCATAAAATTTCACTAAAACCGTTTTCATTCTATGTCCATTGTAAAGATTTTAGAAAAACAAGAATTCCTGTTTGGATTTGCTTAAAAATGAGCTAAATGCAATCATTAATATTTCTTATTTAAAGCAAACGCATTGATTGGCTAAATATTCATTTATAAACGAATAAGACTTTCCGGTTAAACCAATAGACACAGAAGCCTAAAATGATAAAAACAATGATAACAGGTCAACCGGGATCGTGTCTCTCGAAATTCTCAACAATGCCTTTCATGTTCTGCAATTTGAACAGTGTTTGTCATGTCTCTTCGCGTTCCGATTATTCCTTCTGGCTTTCGACCGAAGAGCCGATGACAGCCATGATGAACCCCGTATGCTTTCATTTGCAATCACAATTTGCCATTTCATTTGCAATTCATTTGCAGTCACAATTTGCAATCACAATTCGATTTTCAGGTAACCGGTTCTGCAATCCGACCATACATCTCGCGATGCGCTGTTTGCGAGATTCCAACTCAAATCATGGCCGTTCATTCGCAGGATGTTTCTGTGCCAAGATGTCCTCAAGGATGGAGTCCTCTCTGGCAAGGATATTCGTTTGTCATGGTATTTTAAATTATCTAAGATATCATTATCTCACCTCTAGCACACTGCCGCTGGTGGTGAGGGTACAGGGCAATCACTCCAATCGCCTGGCTCATGTCTCGAGGAGTTCCGTGCAGTGCCTTTCATTGAGTGTCAGGGACGGTAAGTTTTTACTAAATTATAGTACCCAAAGTCGCCTACAAATATCAATAAATTTACATATTTTCAGAGGCACATGTAACTACTACGCAACAAATCACGGCTTTTGGTTGGCCATTGTGGATCGAGTATGTTTATGCTTTAAAACAAATATAAAATAAACTAGAGTTTTTTTTTTCTTTAGTCCTCGATTTTAAGCGATTTTATCCAGAAAACCTAAGGAAAATCAATTTTAGAATCAACAATTCCGCAAACCAATGTCACAAACATTAAAGGCTGGTGGTTTGAAAGATCGAGTGTCGAGATGCCAGGTGTGTACAACAAAAAAAACGACAAATCTTGAGAAATACAGTGCAATGGACAATGAAATATCATATTTGAAAAACGATCGTCACTTTCGCGCCTCTGTAGCTCCCTTGTTTTTGCGTTTAAACTCTTAGTGCTATACATTTTCTGAAAGCTCTTTTCAAGGGCTACACAATGATAATATTAATATTTAGAAATACGGTAAAGACAAGGGAGTTACAGAGGCGCGAAAGTGACGATCTTTTTTCAAATATCATATTTCATTGTCCAGTAGTGTATACTAAAGTTTTTTTTTGAAATCAATGCAATTTTAGGTTTGTCAAAAGGATGGCCCTCGTCGTTAACAACAACAAAAACTACTTCAATTATTGCCTTTCTTTTTTATTTTCCTTTCCCGTGCCTTATTTCTCCTTCTTTTTTGACACGAGTATCGTTTTTAACAAATAACAAATAACAAACTTTACTGCCATTTATTTTTCTTTTTCATCTTTAATCTTTTTTCACATGTCATTATGGCATAAGTTCTTTCTTTTTGTTGATAGATGCTTTGAAAATTTCAACACTATTACTGCCAAGAAAAATCACTGTCAAATTCAGAAAAGAAAAAACAAATCTTTTAGCCCTAATCAACATGCGTATTTATTGAAATTTTTGTTACAAATAAAGCTATTTTTTATTTGATTTGAATAAAAAGTGCACGCTTTATCAATTACTCAATCATTCCATTAATGATCGTAGCTAGATTTACAACGATTTGCAAAGCAGGAAGAAATCAAGAAAAGAAATGGAAAGAAATGGAAGAAAATGGAAAGAAATGGAAAGAAATGGAAAGAAATGGAAAAATACAGGTGAAAACATTTGATAACTTGATGCATTTTATGTAAAAATCAGATTTTTGAAGGAAAAATAGCTTAGAGAAACGGGAAAAAGTAGGAAAAAAAACGTTCACCTAAATTTCTATTCAATTGAATTTTCTCCCCATCTCTCCTGGCCCACCGCTCCCATACCACCAAAAAGCCTCCCCTCAACTCATTCAACTCCCTTTCTTCTCTTCTTCTCACTCCACTTAATCCCCTATTCACACGTTAATTTTTAAATAACTTTCACTTATAAAAACATCTTTTTTCGATAATGATTTCTATTTTTAATCTCTCCTTTTCTCTAATGGAAAGTGAAATAAAAACAACAAACTTTTTATCGAATTTCTGCAAAATGCAGCTTTTTTTTGATCTGTTTTCGCACTCAGGTGTTCCTATTTGCGCAGATCACAACCTGCTTCCACATTTCTCTATCCCTTGCTATTGTCATCCAGTGTTTCCCTAGTTTGATTGTTCCTGGTTCGAAGTCTTCGACTTGCTGGTGCTGGTGGTGGTTGCACTCTAGCCATCCTTTCTCTGACCGTCTCTGCCACTCTTGTGCTCCACCTCGTTGCTGGTCTTCCGATGGGCCTCTTCTGGTCTCGTGGTAGCCATTCTGTGATCCGTATCGTCCATCTGTCGTCTGTTCTTCTGGCTACGTGGCCGGCCCATCTGAGTCTTTTTCTCCCAATCACTTCCACTGGATCTCTGAGTCCCGAGAGCTGGCGCATATCCGTACTTAGGTCTTGGTCGAGCTGCGTCTTCCTATTGTACCCGAGGAGGTTCCTTTCAAGGGCTCGATGCGTCGTTCTCAGGGCTCGTTCAGCGGTCTGTGTCGTGGCCCAGGTCTCTGTCCCGTAGCAGAGTGCCGGGAGGACAGTGCAAATGCAGCTTCAAGTACAGTATTATTTATTTAAGTATTTGTATAAACTTTGAGTACAATACATTACTGTTTTACTATACTTTATCAATTACTCAATCATTCCAATTAATGATCTTACCTAGATTTACAACGATTTTTATGAAGATGATATCAAATGGGAACTCTAACCTTTAAGAGTGCTTCCATAAAGTGAGATGAAGAGTGGAAAGGGGAAAGAGAAAAAAGAATCATTTGGTATTCATCCGTGAGGGGTACTTGAAAATTCACATTTCGAATGGGAGGAGGAGGGAGGGATTGGGGCATCGGATTGGATACTCCTTGCCCTCCCCTCCGCTCCACTCCACTCCCTTCCAACCCCTCGATCCACCTAAAGTCTTTCATTTTTAAGCCATCCACAACTTCTTCCAATCTCAGTTATTATTTAGTAAGTCGAGAAATCTGAAAGTTTCTCTTTTTACGAATTTGTACTGTTGACAAGTTTATGGGCATTTAAATCTAAATTAATCTAAATTTTAAATTAATTTAAAATCCTTCAAAATGGTTGGAACTCTTTGAAAATCCTTTTTAGAACGGATTCTTGTTTTCGTGAAATTTTAGCTTGTCACGAGAATTTGAGTTTTCAAATTTGTGACACTATCTTCTTCATCGCTTCGTTGCATTGCTTCGTTTTGATTTAGTTCTCAGTTCAAGCCCAGTTTTTGCTTTTTGGAACACTTTTTACGAGCTTTTTTTGGCTTTTGTTTTGATTTGGAGATTTTATTGAAATCTTTTTTGAAAGTAGCTTTCGACTTTCAATTGGCCTCGTTTTCAATTTCTTTTTTTTCGATCTCCTCGTCCCAGGGAAATCATAGAACAGACACAAAAAGGCAAAAGGATTTCCATCTTTTAACATAACGCTATTTTTTATTATTTATACTATAGTATTTGATCTTACAATGTTATTACAAAGTATTTTTGGGGAATGTGATGGAATGTAGAAGATTTGAGGGACGAAGAAGCAATAGAGAGCAGAGAAAGGAATGGGGATGGGTGTAGAAACGGCTAATTAGCCTTGCATCAAATAACATTTTCCTCCCTTTTTAACGGCACTACCAAAAATCAACAAATAACTGAATAGCATACAGCTTTTTCTATCTTTTGAATAAGCTTATATTCTTATCTTTTGAAATAGGCTAAAATCCTCTAAAACATTTCAATATTTCTATGTACTTTTCCCAATTCTAATCTTTATCTTATACACATTTAGAAGCAAAAATGTTGGGTCCTTTAATATTTTTGGTCGCGGAGAGGCTGTCATTAGTGGATGCGAGAAGTGATTGGACGTATCCCTGGAAATACGATTCAATGTTTTTTGAAGGTTGATTAAGCTGATGAAGTTTCGAATAATGAATTTATTTACACATTAGATGAACTTTCAGGCCAAGACTACTGGGGAGTGCACTCAGAATGGGCAATGTGTAGCCGAGGAAAATTACAATCGCCAATCGACATCAATCCATCACTTCTTCTACACGATCCCCTCGCTTAAGCCTATAAACATCGATCGGATATCGGTATGATTATAGAGGTTTTAAAAATATGCGAAAAATCTTATGCTTTGTATTGTCCTTGATCTTGCTGTTTTCTCGTCTTTTTTCTTTTTTTCTTTTAAACAATGGTGGTGGCTCCTTGGTGACGAAAGCTCACAGCCCTTTTGCTAGAGAATTCTCTTGAAAATTTGAATGTAAAAGTAGTAAAGCAAAATTCGTGTAACTCTCAAAAGAAAATCTATTCTATTTACTATTGAACTACGCCGAACTATTGGGTTGGTGAATTGAAAACTGCGGGCTATTGTCATATGTGACAGTTTGAGCACTTTCTTCAAAAGAAACCCATTTTGGTGTCAATGGAAAAGTTGTAGAGAATCAAAAATGAAGTTTATATCCAAATTTTCAGAAAGATTCAAAAACTGGTTTTCAAGAAATGCCAAATTTATGAATTTTCACAAAACTTGCATTTTAAGCGAAACTACTAAGTGTTTCTTTTTGGAAATTTGGCTATAAGCCTAATTTTTGATTCTCTACAACTTTTCTATTGACACCAAAATGGGTTTCTTTTGAAGAAAGTGCTCAAACTGGGACATCTCCAGTCCTCCATTTTTGAGTCTCACACTTGTCTCACACACAAACCAAAATCCTACTACAAAAGAGGAATCCGCAAATTGCTTGTAAAATGGGCAAAAGCCATCAATAATAATGGAAATTATTTCGAATGAATTGATGATTTTATGTTCAATAAATTTTAGTTGAAAGTCCGGCAGTTTTCAATTCACCAACCTAATATATCAACTACTCCATACTAAAAATGAGAAAATTCCAACCCAAACCTAATTCCATCATTGTTTTCATGACCGATTGCTCTGAAATTTTACAACTAACTGAACTAGAGATAGACATTCTCAGCTTGTAGATAAAATTTCAAAGTAATCGGCCAAGAAATGGCCGAGAAAACGAAGGTGGAATTGGGTTCGGCTTGGAATTTTTCCATGCCTAGTAACTACGCAATACCGGCACGACTTTTCAGCCAGTCTGATTGTAAAATGTACAGTATTTAACTCTTTAAGCATTTATCGATTTAAACATTTGCCTATTTAAGGTGCACTCTGAAATGGTGAATACGGGTCAAATGCCTCGGGTTCGAATCGGGAACAGTGCCCGCCGCCCTACCGCTAATCTTACTGGTGGCCCACTCAATACGTACAGGTAAACTAAAAAAAACTTCTCAATCTCAGTCTCATTATTTTGCACAAACATTTTCAGATACCGAATACAAAGAATAGACATTCACTTTGGTGTCACTGGACAATCGAATGGCAGTGAGCATGCCATTGATGGGAGGAAATTTCCGATGGAGGTTTTGAAAGAAAATCCTTTCACATATGAAAATCATTTTCAGCTACAATTGCTTGCATTCAACGCCGATCTTTATGCGAATTTTTCTCAAGCTTCTCGATCAACGCATGGAATTGCCGCCATTGCAGTTCTTGTTGAAGTGAGGTTTACATCTGAAATCAAAAAAAGCTTTTCGATTCAGTTTGGACCTGAAACAAATGCGGAATTGCTCAGGCTAACAGTGGCTGCATTGAGTGTGCAATTTAAAAATCAACGGGTTGATTTGGTTGACTTATCACCGTGGAAATTGTTGCCAAGGACTAGAGATTATGTGACATATGAGGGAAGTATCACCGCTCCCCATGCGATGAAACTGTTCAGTGGATTGTTCTCAATCAGCCCATTCACATCACTCACAACGATGTAGGCATTCACCCGTCTACCAGAAGACTAACTATTACTAATCTACTATAGTCAATCTACTTTGGCTAGTCTACTATAGCTGATCTACTACTACTAATCTACTATAGTTAATCTACTATAGATAACCTACTAAGTCAATCTACCAGAAGACTTTAACGATTTCAGTATGCGGAATGGTCAAGGTTATCGCAAAATTCGCCGAAAGAGGACGCAATGCCGATTGCGCCGAATTTTCGATCGCTCGTCGCTCCAAATCATCGCACTGTGCGCACAAATATTGCTCATATTTCTGAGGAGGTTTACCCTTTTCCAAAAAACATATTTCAATTCTTTTACAGGACAAGTTCACTTGTGATACTTCGCGAATCACTTATAAAGTCTTCACAACGCACAATCAAAAATTGACCTAAAGAATAAAGAATTTACAATCAATAAAAATAAAACTAATAATCATTTTGTGACAGAAAATTGCATGACTCAGAAGGGGGAAATTTGAAACTGTCATTAATTTGTGTTGAAGAGGGAAGCAGAAAGTCGGAGCAGAAAAGGGGATACAGAAGGCATGTAAAATCAGAGGAGATCCGACCGTCTAATGGGCGGTGATAAGGCCACTGTGTGAAAAGTTTGAATGCCGAGGTGGTGTGTGTGCACACACACACAGACACAACACTGACACATCCCCCTTTCATTCCCCTTTTTATCCATTCGGGGGCATTTCCAAAGATGGCGACTGAATGGGGCAGAGACTCACTGAGATTTCTTATCACACCCCCGACTCGTTAAAGGTGTTCAAAGCCGATCGAATTACTCCCGTCCGGTGGCTCAATCCGCTTTCCTGCCTTTTTTTTGTTGTAATCTCTTGAATCGATTCTCTTAACCAGACTACTAAATAATCTGAAGCTTACCTTGAAAAGCCTTATGTTTCACGGCGAAAATCTATCTTTGGGCATTACCGTAATCTTATCAGCAGCTCTTTTGTCTTTTTCCTCTCGGCTACAGTAACCCATATCTTTTTGCTGCGGTTTCCTAAACTTTCGAAACTTTCCTAAAGAAAGTTCGACTTTGCGAAATTTAACTGTTGATTTCTGGATACATGAACTACATGAATTACGATACTAACTCTTTTAAGTTCTCTTTTAAAGTTTAAAGTTCTATGCAATTTTCTGTTCACTTTGTTTCACTATTTGCTTTTCAGATATGTTAAGACGAATAGTGACATGTGCTTGTTTGATATTGGTTGTGCACAGTTTTCTCATCGATGATCGTTCTCCATTCACTTCACTCGCCAAATCCATCTTCAACGTTCTCAAAATCTCTCGGTAATCTATCAATTTTAATATTTCTTTTCCCTCTTGTATATCTTTCATTATTTCATTTGATTTCATTTGATTTGATTATTTGCCAAAGATTTTATAGATTTGCTTATTTGTGGTCCACTCTCTCTCTCATCTTTATCACGGGTGCAGCGCCACCGTTAACAATAAAAAAATCTTTTCCCTTTACTTCAAATAATTAAGGAAAACAAAAAAGATTAGTCTTTTAGTCAATAGAAAATCGAAAATCAATTCATAGATTGACTTTAAAAGTTTAAGAAAAGAAAGCCCGGTGGATATGGAAAAAGCAGAATGTGCAGAAGCGCCACCAAAGAGCCGGTAATGAGATATTCGAGAAAGAAAATCAAGTTTTCGATTTAGATTGCCGAGTAAAAAAGAACTACAAGAAATGCTAGAGAAATCGGAGGCTGATGATTATAAATATACGAAACATGAAAGAAAAAAGAGACAAGTTTTTAAGAGAAAGTAAAACGAGTAAACGAGTAAACGATTTTAGATCTCACGACAGAGCTACCAACAATACTTGGAAAATCTCGCCAAAGCTGATTATGATGTGAGAATTGAAGAAAGTGAGACATGAAAAAGAGATTATCTAAAAGAAATTCGAAAAAACATTTAAGGATGGCAAAATATTTTGTATCCATTTGGTGGATGGGCGATGGACGAGCAATTGATGGGGCAAGCTGGCAGGGAAACACAAGCAAATCTCGGCTTTGATTGCCCGTTTTTTGGTTTCAGGTGAGTTTTGCATATTGTTGTGCATGTTTTGCTAATATTTGAATATAATTTGAATATAATTTGAATATAATTTGAATATAATTTGAATATAATTTATAGATTTAACTATACATTTGTCTATCCAATGGGTATGATCTCATTCGCGCAACCGCCATTTGTCACTCCGCCTTTTTCTTTTCCCAATCCATCATGGCCCAATCAACGAGATCATTCATTTATTGGTAAGAAAATGGAAAATAAAAAGATTAAGTCAATAAAAATTATTTTTCAGCTCCATTTTACGCGGATTCAATCTTTCAATGGATTGGGAATACAAAGATTTCAAATGTTTTCTTTCGCTCAGTGCATAGGCCAAGAGTAAATTCTTAGATGAAAAAAAAATGATAAAACGATTTTCAGTTAGATAATGATGACTTTTATGATCCTTCTCTAGAGATAAACGATCGATTGTACTCACCGGTTGACATATGTCTTTGAGTTTTGACTATGTTTTTTAGAACAATCAATACGGAAATCAATATGGAAATCAATATGGAAATCAGTACGATGTCTCACAAAATAACAACCCTTTTCAACAATTTCAGCAACAGCAACAATCTTTCGTAAATCAAGTATAACAGCTTTAGTTAAACGTTTAACAATTTGGACATTTGATACGACTTCTTTGCCATTGGCAATCTAACTTTGAGCTCAAATACCTTGATGTTGAGCTGTTCAATTTGAATATTCTTGATATCATTGGATGCGTCAAGTCTTTCTATGTCGATTTGTAGAAAAACTATTTAAATTGGACTGCCCAACACTAAGGGATTTGAGCTCAAAGTTATACACTCTGTCAAAAAATTATAGACGCACCCTGTTTTTTGCTAGTTTAGACCCGGATATAAGTGCTAGTCCAGTGAAAAGTATTTTTTAGTTTCTTTAATGTAAAAAAACAACCCATGCAAAATTTCAAGTCATTTCACTCATCCAAAGTACTTTATCGTACAAAACGTTTTAGCAGCTGTCAAAAAATTATAGACGCACTTTTATTTTATCAAGAAAAAGTTAACAGAAATAAAAATAACAACACAAACCAAATAAATTAATAATGTGTGGCCCCTCCTTGCTTTAGCCCAACTTCAAAAAGACGTCTCGGCATCGAAGAGACAAGGTCATGGAGCGCTGTTGGCTGAAGCCGATTCCAGGCTACTTGAATGGCTGTTAACTTTTTCTTGATAAAATAAAAGTGCGTCTATAATTTTTTGACAGCTGATAAAACGTTTTTTGTACGATAAAGTACTTTGGATGAGTGAAATGACTTGAAATTTTGCATGGGTTGTTTTTTTTACATTAAAGAAACTAAAAAATACTTTTCACTGGACTAGCACTTATATCCGGCTCTAAACTAGCAAAAAACAGGGTGCGTCTATAATTTTTGACAGAGTGTATTACTAATGGCAAAGGGGGCGGGGCTTATCAGTCGGATAAGCTTTGATAAGCCCCGCCCCCTTTGCCATTGGCAATCCAACTTTGAGCTCAAATTTCTTGGTTGATTTTGTTTTTATTTTTGTACCAATCGATAGAGAAAAGACTTGGCGCATCCAATGATATCAAGAATATTCAAATTGAATAGCCCAACATCAAGGTATTTGAGCTCAAAGTTAGATAGCTAGTGGGGAAATTTCCGATAACCGTTTAGCAAAATAATCTAGGGGACTCAATATGGAGAAAACTTTGGCAACTTTGGTAAAAGAAAGAAGCGTCAAATGCCGGGAAGAATCTCACAACCTGGTAAAAAAAAGCCCAACTTTGATAGTCTAAATAAAATAAAGGAATGGTGGTGGATCCATTGTTGTTAGACAACATCACGCAACATGTGCAAGAAGGATACACGGGGGCAAATGGATGGAGAGCCGAACATGCGTTTATCGTTACTTGGTATCGGGTAGGTCTTTTCTAGGGTCACTCAAAGTTGATTCAATATTTCAGATGGCTTATGGTGGAGCCCCACGAGCACTTGATGTCTCTCAATTTGAACATGTCAAAGATTGGCAAAACACTTTCCAATTAGTAAATTATGTGTGAAAGAATGTGTCGAAGAAAGAGTTAAGGTAATAGCTTCGGATGAAATCCGCACATTTGCAATCTACAACTACGCAAGAGTCAATTGGACATCGAGTAACGAAGCCGGAGGTGGAAAAGGGAGAATTTGTAGAAGAAAAAACAGTCATTTTAAGGGCTAAACGGTTTTGGAGGTAAACAAGCAGCGATGGCCGGTTTCAACGGAGGAAACGGGACCGGATGGTATCCATTACCATATTCAGGGCATGGTGCGTGGGATTTTGGATGAATAGAGTGTATAGCAGTGGGATTATAGTAGTAGCAAAAGTTACAAAAGCCATCAATGCATATGCCATTAGGTTAAACGATAATCCGCTTACAGGAAGAATTTGGAAACTCGGCTACTTTTCAAATGTTCTCACGCCGGGGCGCTGGGTTCACCGAATTGACGAGCTCATCATTCCAGCCGGTTGCACCAATGCTTCTGACGGTAAGATTTCATTTTGCGTCTTGAATTCATGAGATTTAAGGTGGTGTCGTGTTGGCTCCACCATTTGGCCCAATGCAGGGCGGTGTCGCTATCAATATTTCCGGTCCTTGTCTTCGAGAAAAGGATGTTGTAAAGGTTTTTGAGAAAGAAAAGGTGTTTCATCTTTCCTTTTAGGTGACGTTTGAGTCATGGGAAGTAAATTGTAAGCGAATAAGCCGGGTCCGGGCTCGTTGCATAATGCCGATGTTTCACAAAACAGGAATGGTAAGTTGTCTTGAGATTGCTTTCAGAGTCTTTGGGTCTAGGTTCCAGTCCGAATGTCTCGAGATGGTGGTCAAAGTTTTCCCTTTTTCGGGAAATTCTATATTGGTAATAAAAGTTTAAGTGATTTTCGGCTAAATAATTTTCTTTAGTGGTTCCCGATCGGGCACCTCCTGGTGTACAGCTTATTGATGCTGTCGATATTGCTACAAATCGCTGGTATCAACCATATGCTGATTCCTTGAAAATGGGATGGCAAGTAAGAATGAAATCTAGTTTCTTTAAAAAGCCCAACACAATTAGGCGCTGAACTTGACATACAATCTTGGAGCCAGGATCGATATATCTTTGTATGGATATTGGGAAGATGCTGACAGGTAGATGGCGAATGATCGATTAAATAAACATACTTTTTGAGATCTCATTTCGAGAGGATTGACTACTTGGCAAGAGGCGTCACAAACACTGGCGCTTATGAGTTTAAACCGGCGCAAATACAACGACAAAGGCTTCTTACCGTAACTGCAATCTATCAAAATCATAAGTGAAATGTTCTGAAATAGGATGCTTGGAAGAAATTTCATTTTGGTTTTGTTCAAGTAGCGATCAGTGATGTTGAGGATGGAGTTCTTTGGAGTCGACCTACACCATTTCCTTGGTACTTTATGATTTAATGATTTTAAATTTTACTTTTCATTTAGGTATCATTTACCGGATTGGCGGTATCATTGGGGCAAAAATTGGGCTTTAGACATGTGCATTGATTGGTTTGAATATGATGGAAGAAGAAGGAATTTTCAGGTTCACACCTCATCTCTGGGTTGTTACAATTTTTTTGTTTTCAGATTGATCTCACCAAAGAACTTCCGTGCCCTTGCAAACTGTCGCAAGTAAGCTGGAAAAAGTGCGGGTGGCTACTTTGAGCCAAATTTTTTTTTGGGTCAACTGACAAGGGAAGATCAACTGGCTGAGCCGGTCAAATGCTATGCAACCTGTACCATGCGACGTAGAATTTGATGCTGATTCCAAATATGTATTCCGTTTTTGCTAAATGATCTGTCAGGAGTTGTCAAAAATTTTTTGTGTGGTCACCCTGAAAATCTGGTCATTTGGGATCTTAGTGGCCTCTTGGGCAACAACCATTTGGTGCTGCGGTGGCCGAGTGGTAAGCCGCTCGTTTCAAAAACGAGCTATTTTTTAAAATGAGACCTCGCAAGTTCGGTCCCGACTTTTGATTTTTCTTTTGCTTTTTTTCAAGAAGTGTTGAAGTGCAACTGCTGGCAGATTGTCATTTAGCAAAAATAGAATGCATATTAGATAGATCTACAAAATGACACCAAAATCATAAAGACTGGTCCACTTAGGAGAAAGTTATTGTGAGTTGCGCAAAAAATTTAGCACAAAGTAGCCCCTAGAAAAAGTCAGATAAAATAAAAATCAAATTCAGGCTTTACTTGATGTCGGAAGGTTTATGCCAATCATGAACTGTGATAAAGATGGAAATATGGAATGTCCCTTCAATAAAGGATCTCAACATTGCATTCAAAGTGCAACCGCGACGTTTGGTTAAACGGTAATGCAAAATTAAGGCATGCTTTTAGATGGACAGGTTCCGCACAACAATGTTGCTATGATTGGGACGGTTTCTTGATGTTTACCGATGATTGGGAACCCGATGGTGATTACAGCCGGTGAGCGATTTCATCATTTCATTTTTATGAACTGTAAAAACTTGTAGATTTTTCCAACCCGGAATCCCAGCAAGAGCTCATGCATTTGGAGCAAGACCATACCTAATGCCTCCATTCATCCCAACTCTTTCACATTATCAACTCGATGAACTTCCATACAGAATGTGTTGCCAGTTCGTTTTCACAATTTAATTGAAACTTCTGATTTGATCAGAATAAGTTAATTTAATTGAAATTTAGATGGAGTGATCATTGTGAATTCTTCTATTGGAGAAGAATGACCAATGGATGCCAAGATTATAAAGCGCCAGCTGCCGGGTAAATGCATAACTTTATTTGGTCTCAAAATCGTTTTCAGTTATATTTATGGAGAGCCTCATGTGATCACTTTTGATGGAATCAGATACACTTTCCCTGGAAAAGTAAAAATTTAGTCAGAGAAAGAAAATTCATCAAACAATTAGGGCTATTTCGTTTTGGTGATGAATGAGAATCCAAAGAGCAAGCTGATGATACAGATCCGACTTGAACAACCCGATGATACCCTTTGTAAGCATTAGATAGTTTTGGATATTGAAACAATGCTAACAATTTGATAAATGCGAAAAATCTTATTATCAGGGCACTCGCATGTGAATGCGACAGTGATTACCGGAGTTGCCATTCAAGATGGAGATGGTTCAATCTTGCAAGTACATTTTTTTATTTTAATTCGAAATTGTAATCCGAAAATACAAGCTATGCCAAGCTTTTTTTTCACCTCACTTACTGGGTTTATAGATTTTAAGGTCAAAATATCAATCAATTCAAGCAATATCAATCAATCAATTTTAAGGTAAAATATCAATCAATTTTAGAATTTTTTTTTAGTACTATTTATAGATATTTTTTCTTAAATAAGCTGAACAAAATTTCTTTATAATATGAGTAGCTTGAGTAGGGTAAAAGCTTGAGTAGGGTAAAAGCTTGAGTAGGGTAAAAGCTTGAGTAGGGTAAAAGCTTGAGTAGGGTAAAAGCTTGAGTAGGGTAAAAGCTTGAGTAGGGTAAAAGCTTGAGTAGTGTAAAAGCTTGAGTAGGGTAAAAGCTTGAGTAGGGTAAAAGCTTGAGTAGGGTAAAAGCTTGAGTAGGGTAAAAGCTTGAGTAGGGTAAAAGCTTGAGTAGGGTAAAAGCTTGAGCTGAAAGAAAATTCAGTCTTTGAGCTTTGGCCAACTTTAGGGAAATGACAGAACTTTTGGCATACCCTGTAGAACCTACTGTTTCTCCCAAGATTTTCTATATCAATTTTACAGGCATTTGCTCGAAAATCGATGCGTCGTTGGCGTTATCGAATGGATGTGATTGTTGATGGAACACCTCGATATTTTGATATGCCTTTCTGGAAATATCAACAATTCAATCGTACTTTTCCACCCCAAATCTCATTCACTCGCAAAATCTAGGACTAAGTGTTCGCAATCCTCTTCAAAACATGAATCAATCGGAAGTTGTCGTGATGACACAGAGTGGAGTCGGCATTCGAATCGGGGAAAGTTATGGTAAGATCCGATAAAAGATCTTTAAGAAATTGATCTATATATTCTTTTAGGAATGCTCGATGTGATGGTCACTCTTCCACCAAATTACAATAGCACTTGCCGGTGCGTTTATTGATGTGCTTTTTGGTATCAATGACCATTTCAGACCTGGACAAACAATGGCAAATCAGAATCTCCAAACAATCAACCCTCAAGATCGATGCTATACAACTTTGGGACTTCTTGGTGCGATGTTTTTGATTAAAATTTTGAAATGTGTAAACTTAGGTGTTTATAACAATGATCAAACAGATGATCTCACAACATTGACTGGACAAAGTATTCGGTAAATACGTTACTAAACTCCCTCTGGAGCAAGGCAGATCGAGTGCCTTTTGGTGTAGTGCTTAGTACAGTTGCCTAGTAAACGAAACGTGGCCGGTTCGAGTCCCGGTCGCGCAAGTTTTTGATCTGCCCTAGTTCCAACCCGTTATATTCTTTCAATTTCTTTCAAAATACCACTTTTTAGAGCCTCTGGTGATACGCACAATGCTGGAACGACGCAAATGATTTATGATCAATTTGGGACAACATGTAACTTGGATACAACTTTGAATCTCTAGATCTATTACGATAAAATCATTATTTAACTTCTCTTTATTTCTTTTATTTCTTCAGGGAGAATCGATGGTCGAAATGATCGAATTGGTAATTTACTCTTCTCGGAAAAATACAAGCCTATCTATAATCCGCTTCTTTTCGCTGATCCGACGTGAGTTGCAATGAAAATAATCTCAAATTCATCCAATTTCAGTTATTATCCTGTATTTTGGCCTTCCAATGTGCTTGATATGAATGCGAGTCGGGTTTTCTCAATGAATCAAGTAATTCAAGTGAAATCAAATGAAAATTTGCTGTTTACAGGTGACGGTCGCATGTCAAGGGCTTCCAGAATGTGAATATGATTATATCATGACCGGGCGAAGAGAGGTGATCTTTGAAGTCTTAATCACCGAATCAGTCAATCATTGTTTCAGGTCGGCTTGCAAACGATGGAGAAACAAAAGAATTTCCTGAGTTTGAGTAAAAAAGGAAGCGTTCAATGTAAGAGATATACTTTATTTTTTTTTATTTTAAAATATCAAATTTATAGTAAAATCTTGTGGGCCATTATTGAAAAAGGAAGGTGTTATAAAGACTCCACCAGCAGCAAATTACCTTGAAGGAGATACCGTGGTATGTGTGAAATGTAAACTACTGAAATATATGAAGTTCCGGATTTTGTCCCCCAACTTTGAAGCACTATAACTCGAGAACTATACATTGGAGTCTATAAGTGTTATAGTGATTTTGAAAGCTTCAAACAAGATCTATAAGATGGTATATTTTGTTTTTTAATTAGCTTTAATTTCCTTTCCAAAAAAGCATGGTTTCAGAAAGATTGGAGCACGAAATCTATAAGAAAAAGCGTGTTAAAAAAGTGAATTTTTGAATTTTTGACACCCTACTTTACGCGCCCTAAAATTGGTCAAAAATCAAAGCGAATCAAAAAACAAAACATGCCAGCTGATAGATTTCGTTTCAAGCTTTCAAAATCACTATAATACTTATAGACTTCAATGTATAGCTCTCGAGTTATAGTGCTTCAAAGTTGGGGGACAAAATCCGGAACTTTATATATCTTTTGTCCGGTACTGTACCTCTAATGTTTTCAATTTGAAAAGAAAATCGTTTCCTTTTAGGTATTCTCTTGCAAACCAAAATATTTCATTCATGGAGATATCGAGCGAACATGCAAAAATGGAACATGGTCACCTGGCTGGTGGGCCTGGTGCAGAGGTTGAGGAAAGTCTTTGAAAATTTTAAGCATTGATTTCAGATCGAAATCTCGAGTATGCGCTCAAATGGATGACCGCTTTGCTTTCAATTTTTGGTTGTTTTTGTTGAAAATGCATATTTGTAGTTAGCAAAATTTTAGGCATTGTTGTTTTGATCATTGTTTTCTATTGTATTCTCTGGGAATTGCGAAAGCGGCGAGTGGCTGAGAAGATTGCCGACGGAAAAACGAAAGATGTATCAAGGAGAACATGGAATAAAGGACGAAACTCGCCAACACCACAAAATACAATGTAAGAGAGTTATGCTAAAACAAAGATATTTATATATTATTGTAAGCAAAATCAACTTATCTGAGAGATTTAGCGATGAGAAGACACCCCTTCAAAATGGAACATTGAGTGATCTGAATGGAGAGCCGATCAAGACAAATCCTTACGCACAAGTAGTGTTTAGCTAAAGCTATGGCTTTAGTTTAGCTATGGGATAAATGTTAAATGTGCTGTATGTTAAAATATGTTGTGTCTCGATTTGAATTGATTGAAACAATCTCAAGCGCTACAATAACTTGTTTTTTTTACTGTTATCTTGATTGTTTCTTAGTTTTTATGAATTCATAAAAGGTTCTGCGTAAGAAGAGAGTAGAATAGCATTAATGAACACTCTATACCGAGTTTTGAAGGTTTTTTTTTTGGGTATTTTGGGATGAGGAAGCGCTTGAAATGATCGATGTTACTTTTTTGTTCTCCAGTTGGTCTATATGCCGTAAAAGTCACGAAAAATGACAAAAGTTTGGTTAAAAACTTAAATCAGAAAGATTCTAATGAAAATTTTAAAAAATCAATTCAAATCGGAGACAACAAATATATGTTACGTTCGATCTTGAGTGAAGTGAGGTTAAACGTTCGATCTATTAGGTTGGCAACTTAATAATGACGCGTCACTACTTAACATGTTTTTTTGTAATTTCAAGCACCGTTTCTTCCCTCTTTTTGCATATATACAAAGTAAAAGATGTCTGCATAAATAGCATTTAGTGCTACAAATTTCACCATTCGCTTTTTGGCAAAAAATGGAGGACAAAAAATTCCGTATTCGAGCTGTATTGTTCTACGATTTTAAACAAGGAAAATCTCCAGCTGAATCTTATCGCACGATCATCACTGTTTTGGAGAGGAAAGCATACACATTCGGCAATGTCAACGATGGTTTCAAAGATTCCAAGGCGGCGATGGAAGCCTCGTAGACGAGCCACACCAAGGACATCCTCCAGAAGTGGTCGACGATGACTTGCTCGCCTTAATTGAAGATTGCCCAACACTCACCGTTCGTGAGTTGGCAGAAATATTTTAAGTATCCCATACGACAATCGAAAACTATTTACACACTTGGGAAAAAGAATCGTGTTGGAAAATGAGTTCCTCACGAATTGACCCAAAGCAACAAAATGGCCCGTGTCAATGTCGCCTCAATTTTGCTACAAAAATGTAAATCGAACGACTTTTTACACTTCTGACGAAACGTGGATCAACTACGAGAACGTTAAACGCAAAAATCAATGGCTATCTGCTGGGCAGACCCCTCAAACCACTCCCAAACCTGATATCCATGGGAAGAAGATAATGCTCTGTTGCTGGTGGAACTTCAAGGGATTGGTGCATTATGAAGTGCTAAACCTGGCCGAATCGTCGATGCTGATCTTTATTCGAAGCAATTAATGAGAGTTAACGAGTCTTTGAAGAAATTGGGGCTCAAACCGGAGAGAGTCAGATTTTTACGCGAGAACCCAAAATCTCACACTGCAAAGATCACTTATAAGAAAATCGTGGAACTTGGCTGGAAAGTTTTGCCCCACGCGTCTTATTCACCTGATCTGGCTCCTTCAGATTACTTTTTGTTTCGGTCGCTGAAGCACTTTTTGAAGGGAGAAAAGTTCGATGATCATGCTCGGATCATAAAAGCAGTGAATGACTACTTCACCTCAAAAACTCCCAAGTTCTTCGAGGATGAGATCCGGGATTTGCGCAGAAGATGGGAAGAAGTCATAGATACTAATGGAGAATACCTTTTGAATTGAAGGCTCTTCTTTTGTGTTTTTTTAAAATAAATGATTTGTTACATAAACACGTCATTATTAAGTTGCCAACCTAATAGAATCAAGCTGATCACGCTAAATCTAAGTCTGAATCCGACGTCCGATTTAAAGCGATCGGCTTCATTCTAGATCGTTTGATCTAGAATGAAGGTTTTCTAGATCGTTTGACCTCACCTCACTCTAGATCGAACCTCGATCGGACTCTAGATCCGATCTAGAATCAGTCTAGATGAGATGGATTTCTAGATCAGATGTAACATATATAATAGTAAAGAAATGAATGGCAAAGAATTTGGAACCAAGGGGGAATTGAACCCTCGACCTTCTGCTTAATAGATAACTTAATGAGTAGTTGAATATCCATATTTTTAATGATCGAATACTTTCAGCGAATTTCACCCGATAGCCTGATCGCCCCACAAGCTTATGTAGACAGCTATATGCCACCGCGAAGGATCGGAAGTGGTACAGTGAATAAAATCTTTCGTATTTACTTATTTATTATACCGTATCTTCTCTAATAGTAGTGCACCATGAGCGTCGCCTAAATTTCTCGAAATCTCGACAACCGCTGATCAGAACCTATCGATGTGGGGTCGGAAAATGTAGCTCACGATGAGATCTAGTGGGGGATTAGAGTGTTGAGCTTCTGGGAAAACTTGGAAACTGTTAAATAGGCATGAACTCGGCTCGACTATGAAAAATACGGTGACCTTTTTCCCAAAAAACAGACAAACTTTAGACTTTTCTAATAGTAGTGCACCGCTTCGACTAAATTCCTAGAAATCTCGACAACCGCTGATCAGAACCTATCGATGTGGGGTCGGAAAATGTAGCTCACGATGAGATCTAGTGGGGGATTCGAGAGCTTCTGCAAAAGCTTGGAAACCGTAAAATAGTCATCAACTGTGCAAAAATAGTGCACCCCGGCTCGCCGGAGTGCACTACTATTAGAGAAAATACGGTATATTATATCGTATTATAATGTACTGTTGGGTATTTGAGTTTTCTGAGTTTTAACGCCTTTCATGAGAGTTTCAGGAAACGCCGAATGGAATGGGAACGATGAAGTGATCAATGGATACACGCTCGGCCCACAACCCACAACGGTGAGCTTTGTATAAAAGATTTTTTTCGATTACTGTAACTATTATGTTTACTATGGCTCTTGTAGAATTGTTTATTGTATTATTTGAAGAATTTTTCAATTTCAGTACGAAAGTTATCCCGTGCAATCCCAAGGGAATGCTCATCTAATGCAGAGCAGTCAAATCTAACATAATTCTCGCCTTTCATCTCATCACTTATTGTTGAATTCATTTTCTTTCATTTGTACATAAATTTTTGTTATTTTTGTCATTTTTTGAAAATTTATTTATCGAAAAAAATCTCTGAAATAAACTACTGGACAATGAAATATGATATTTGAAAAAAGATCATCACTTTCGCGCGTCTTTAACTCCCTTGTCTTTACCGTATTTCTAAATATTAATATTACCATTGTGTAGCCCTTGAAAAGAGCTTTCAGAAAATGTATAACACTAATAGTTTAAACTCAAAGACAATGGAGTTACAGACGCGCGAAAGTGACGATGGTTTTTTTCAAATATGATATTTCATTGTCCAGTACTGTAGCATATAAAAAATGAGCTGGCGAAATTTGGCAATCAAAATAGCGAGAATGGGATATGCACAACCTTTACAAAATCGCAAATATAATACGTCGTCGATTAAGTTTTTTAAATATTTACAAAATAAAAAGAAAACATAATATAAAACATAATTTTATAAAAGTAATGCTTGTGAATCTTACTAAAGAATTGAATTTCAGAAAGTTTTACATTCAAAAATCAATGAATGAGTTTTCAAATTAATGAAAACTCAATAAAAACTCAATAAAAAACAATAAAAAACAATGAATTAGTATTTTTTTTTTTTAAAAACCCTGTTTCTTAAAGGCATTTATCAATTTTTGTAAAGAAAAAGAAGACATAGGCACAAAAATTTGAGATGTCAAGGCTATCACAAAGAACTTTTTGAAATAAAACTTCTTCACTGATTAAAAAAGTTTCTGGAAACGACGATAGCTCAAAGCAAATTGCCAAATTGACATTATCATTGTAAAAAATGCTTCACATGATTACCTAGATGAAAGAAATTTTCAAATGATGTTAAGAAAGGTTTTCTTTTGGAAATATATGGATAGGCAAACGAATTTCTTGAACTAAGGATTAGAGATGGGTAAATTTTGAGACGAGTCGATTCATAAATCGACTCGGATCATTTTTGCTAAAAAGTGACTCGACTCGACTACTTTTTTGAGTTTTTTTATAATGATTTGACTCGACCCAAAAATAGGCGACGATTCACAGAAAATTGGAGGCGCTGACTCCGCTGAAAAAAAGAGTCGAAAAGAGCCCATTTCTCCTCAGGATATCAAATATTTGTAGGGGGTTTTTAAATTTTTAGAAAACTTTATGATAAAAAATGATTTGTTTAAGCGATCACACATTTGCCTCCATCGTTTGCACGGGGCCTTACGATATTCCCCTTCGAAACCTCAATCTCGAACAAGACTTTCTCGAAAATCTGCTGAATTGCCTGAAAAGTTCAACTTTTTACATGTCAACGAAACTAATGGTAAAAATCAAAATTTCTTTGAATCGGAAAATCGGCGGTACTTTCCGATTATATTCTACAACTTGAGTCTCGTCTACAGTCTACAAATAGTCTACAAATTCATTCAACTGTAGTCAACTGTAGTCAACTGTAGTCAACTGTAGTCAACTGTAGTCAACTGTAGTCAACTGTAGTCAACTGTAGTCAACTGTAGTCAACTGTAGTCAACTGTAGTCAACTGTAGTCAACTGTAGTCAACTGTAGTCAACTGTAGTCAACTGTAGTCTACAAATTCATTCAACTCTACAAATCCTTTTCTGCGCATTTTAAACTTAAATTTTATATTATCAATTTTATTTGAAATTTCTTAATCGAGATGGTATGAATTTTGTTTTAAAAATAACCCCCATTTAATGGGAGTGGGACAAATGCGACCTTTTTTTGCGCACCCGGACATTTGCGCACCTTTTTTTCCGCACTTAGCTCATTAGCGCACCTTTTTTCCGCCTTTTAAAAGAGCTCTAAAAGCTAATATTAACCAATTTCTATTCCAAATGTTGTTTTTCCAGATAACTTTAGGGCGTAGAATCGAAATTTTGACATATCAGAGCTTGTGGAAGCGAACGGACGGAGTTATACAAAGAGAAAAATCAATAATTTTCTGTAATTTGACCTAGCCGTTTTGTCTTTCAAATTGGTTCCACACGCTCTGATATGCCAAAATTTCGATTCTACGCCCTAAAATTACCTAGAAAAACAACTTTTGGAATAGAAATTGGTTAATATTAGCTTTTAGAGCTTTTTTGCTCTAAAAAGACGCGAAAAAAGGTGCTCTAATGGGCTAAGTGCGGAAAAAAAGGTGCGCTAATGTCCGGGTGCGCAAAAAAAAGGTAGCATTTGTCCCACTCCCCATTTAATAGAAAAGAAAAGTTCCGGAAATATAACCGGAAAGTACCAAATCGGCAAATTATAAATCATGAAAGGTCACGTTTCGGACGTCAGCGAACGAAGAAAACTTACTGGCAAAGCCTCCTAGATTGAGTTAATGAATTAATGAAGAATTCATCTAATAGAAATGTTAGTTGAGTTAATTTGGCTATAACGGCACAAGAGTAGCAGCAGCAGCTCTCACAAATATTGAGTTAGAGCGTATGAAATGAAATGGCCACAAGTTAGAGCGTATGAAATGGTGGCGACTTTAGAAAATTTTTCTGAAACATATAAAAGCTCCATATAATCAAAAAGCTCTATGATTGCTCGAAAAAATCGCTTTTAAGAGATTCTGAAAAGCTTTTGTTTTGTTGATTTTGTTGATTTTAAAGGCTCCTAAACGCGATCAGTCAATCAATGAGAAGGAGTCCGTTTGACTTTTTTTTTCACATAAACTTAACATGATGCCAAAACAAAAAAGTTAGAGCATATTTTATTACATAAGTAGCCAAATTTTTGCAGTAATATCGTCAGTCATTTACTCTAAATAAAAATTTATAAATTTTCTGAAAAAAATGATTTTTTAATCATAAAGACTACTCGATTTTATAAAAGTTTCTTTGAAAGTCGGCGCCATTTCAGCCTCATCAACCCAATAGACTGTGTATTTCAGGAATTTCGTTTACATTCTGGCCCTTATATTGACTTTTTTTTCACCGTAACTCTATTCTTGTACCGTTGTAACCTGGTGACGTGCAAAGTGATTGCAATCTTACGTTGTTATCCTTGGCGGAAGTCTCGAGAAAGTGTGCTTGCCATTGAGCGGCGAGTGACTGTCCTTCTTCTTTTGTTACGCTCCGACTGTTGTACTGCAAGTCGCTCTTGTTTCCCACCAACACCAAAGGGATTCTGAAATATCTTGTCACGTTTTTCTTTTCCGTCTTTAAGACAAGGAAAGCTATATGAAGAAAATGAAAGGCGAAAATGAAATTAACCTCATATCACCGACATTGTCTCGAATTTTATCGTAAATCGTTTGCATCACTTCAAAGCTAGAAATATTTGAATTAAAAAACGAAACTTTTTTTGTTGCTTACGATCGTCGATCATCAATTGCATAGACAAGAATGAATCCATCAATATCAAAAGAACATGAGCGAGGAAACAATGAGTACTCCTAAAATATTGGATCAAGTTTGGTGAGGATGGTGGTTCTGACGAGAAAAATCGCTGTGATATTGTGAAAAATCGCTATATATATACTCCTAAAATATTGTGTGCATATTTGCAACATTTTTATGCAACAAAATGCAACATATCAGTGATCAAATTTCTAGTTTTACAACTAGTCCACATTTTTAGAGTTTACAGTCTACAACTTCCTTCATTCAAGGTTTTATATTCTATAAAATGTTGTACCTGTTGTCCGGCAGTGTCCGTGATACGAAGAATATAGTCCCGATTTTGATATTTGTAGTTCTAGAAATTTTCCTATTAAAGAAATAACTTTTCTTTAGGAAAAGGATAAGTTGAAAAAGTTGATGGAAAGGAAAAGGATATAGGAAAAGTTGATGTTGCTTTTAGCATTAGGTTTTTCCTTTAGCTTTTTCCTTTAGCTTAATCAATGAACCTTATTATACATGTCTTCAACGGTCGTATCATACGCATCGGGGAAAGTTCCCTTCACAAAACGCAAAGTGATCGACGATTTTCCTGGATTTTTTTTTCGTTAAATCGATAGAAATTGATTTTAGATTTAGCGGTGAAACGATCCATTTCATATATTTTATTTTTTTTCTTCAAACCCACCAACACACGGATACCCCATCACAGCGATTTTTCTCGTCAGAACCACCATCCTCACCAAACTTGATCCAACAGCACTAAAAAAAATTGATTATTAAATAAAAAGAAATGAAAATTGTGAAAGGTTTGACTAATTGAGCCTTTCACATGAGACTTTTGAGAGAATGAAAACGGAGCGCTACAAACTACAAACAAGCACATGGAATGGCAAAAGGATAACCCTTGTTTAATAGAGATTACAGATTCAAATAAAAAGATGTTAAAGATATTTTTGTTAAAGAAGATTTTACAATTAATAGACAATGAGTAACTAGTGAACAAAATTTATATCAAAAATCGAACATTTGTCTTTTCAAATCTTATCTTTTCCAAAATCTAATGGTGAAATGGTGAGAATTTTTGATTTTGAATAGAGTTATTCATTATTTACTGAACAAAGGAAACGAAATATTCTCTGGACTTTGGAATTACCCTGGAAATCAACATTTACAAAATGTTCGTTTAGTAAAGAGTTAAGAGTTGAGCAATTTACACAAAAGAGTATTAGTCCAAAATTCAAAGGAAACTTAAAATGTCTTGGTGTTAAAATGGACTTTGGAATTACCCTGGAAATCAACATTTACTTGTTAAAATGTCTTGTTAAAATGTTGCAAAAGAAAAGAAAACACATTAAAAATACATATCTTTAAATAATTCTATTCCTCGAGGGTGAAAAAGGAGCGATTCTAGGAAGTTCACTCGTATACCTCGTGGCAACCATTCGCACTTTCTCTCGAATTTTTAACGAAACCCCTCAAAAAAGGCTTTGTTCTTGAGGGGAAGGCTAAGCTCTTGTTTTAAAAAACGTTGATTTGTTTCCTTAAAATTTTCCTTATCGATTTTTGAAATGTCTTTTGGCGATGATCCGGTTTATCGAGGATATGTTGATCGCCGAAATCGGGGTAAAGTTTTCCGGGGAATCGATCGATTACTGCTTTTTTTGACTAAAACCATTACACTAAAGCCAGAATACGGTCGTTTTTTTCTTAAAAATATTTCAAATTGAGGTTACAGGCTTAAATAGCCTTTAGAATTGGACCAGAAACTTTCAGAAATGGCCTCGAGTGGAACAAGCTCTGATGGACGGCCATCTCGAACAGGAAGTGCGGATTATAAAATGTAAAAAAAAACAAGGAAATAAATCAATGTGCTCAACTATATTTAGGCCAAATTATGGGTATAAATCTGATGGATATCAATCAGGATCAGCCAATCTTGGAGATGATCCTGTTTCTGCGGTTTGCTTGCTTTAACTTGCTTGCTTGCTTGCGAAAAGCTTGCTTTAACTGTGAGAAATGTTTAGGTTCGAACTTTAAGAAATCAAATGAGACAAAAGATGTCCAACTATCAATCAATGAATCTACCAGTAAAAGTTCGAAATTTTCGTATTGAAATAAACTAATGAAAGAATAATGTAGGCTCATCTTTGTCAAACGGCTTGTGATACTTTAAGCCGAGCTGAAGGGCAATTAATCGGAATGAATAATAAAAGAAGAAATGCACTAATGGTCGGTGATAGTGGAAGTGCTGATCAAATGAAAGTGCAAATGGATCAAGTGAGGAGGTTCTGAAAAAAAAAAACCACCGACATTTATTAGGTGAAAGATGATGCGATTCGAAATGCTTATGCTGATCTTGTCACCGATTCTAATCAGGTAAATTTCGTAGAAAAATGTCTACCAAAGTAGATAGATGAACGCGTATGGAGTGGATTCAAAGTGGACTCCACAAGAAGAATCCCATCCACCGAGAAATCCCACTCCACAACCATTGTTGCCAAGGCCATCGAGTGATCGGTTGGTTAAATATTAACAAAACTAATTTGTTATGTATTACTAGTATGCTTTTCTTTGAATTCACTAGGCATGGCTAGACCTGTGCGCTTTTGTTTGACTAAATAACAAAAGCAAGTTTTCCGTTTACGTTTTTCCGTCGCAGTGCGTAGCTGCTCCATTCCTTGGGTTTTGCTTTATTCAATACACAAGTGTGAAAATGTTTCAACAAATGTTTCAACGAAGCTCAAAGAAACAATGTGTTGATCCAGAAACAAAAAGGAAATCACTTTTATGAAAATTGTGGAAGTACACTACTGGACAATGAAATATCATATTTGAAAAAAGATCGTCACTTTCGCGCGTCTGTAACTCCCTTGTCTTTAAGTTTAAACTATTAGTGTTATACATTTTCTGAAAGCTCTTTTCAAGGGCTACACAATGGTAATATTAATATTTAGAAATACGGTAAAGTCAAGGGAGTTACAGACGCGCGAAAGTGACGATCTTTTTTCAAATATGATATTTCATTGTCCAGTACTGTATCTCGAAAAAAAGAAATCAACTTTCACAAAAAAAAAGTGAGAGAAAATTCTCTTCTTCTGACCAGGCTTGCAGAAAATTGAACATCTTTTAGTTTTTATAGAAAAATTCAACAAATGGAGCAGCTACGTTTTTCCGTCGCATTGCGTAGCTGCTCCATTCCTTGAGTTTTGCTTTGGCAATCAAAAGATATGAAATTTTTCGCTTACAAACCTGAATCTGACTAAATAGGGAAGGAGGCGTCCTTTCATACGCAACTGAGCACGACATTGTTTAAGATACGGTATTTCTGGTGTCTTATTAGATTGCGGCAGCTTTTTGGTGATTCGTCGTCACAAATATGATCTTTTTTTCCATAGAACAGTTTTATAGAAGACCATCAACTCGTACCAGAACTCCAGAAAGAAAGAAAACACCTGAGCGTGCAAGGAGTCAAGATGGAAGAAGGTACATATAGTCGATCAGCTTTTCTTTTCACTTACGATTAATATTTTAGAACAAAAAGTCGTCGTGGACCGTCAAATGAGCGTTTCCGGCCGAATAGTGTTGCTAGAAAGGTAAACAAAAATATTATGCAACTGAAATTTTTTTTTCTTTCCTATCTTTAGCCTCGTCGACAACGTCGCCCTCCTAGTCCAGAAGGAAATCAAACGCCATTTTCAATGCAAAAAGGCCCAAATCCTCAACCTGAATTTGATGTTAGACAATTTTTTTTTATAGTTTTCATAAAAGAAAATTACAGCCTGATATTCGTAGAAATGGTCGACTCGCTGAAATGGAGAGGCGTAAAAGAGGAGAGGTATTTTCCAAGAATCGACATTTATTTTCATTTCTTTTATTCCACAGTTTATTCAACCAACATCACAAGCTGAAGCAAATGCCATGTTATTTGATAATCCTTATAAACCGCCAAATCAATATGGGTACCTCATATTATACTTAAAATCAACTGCTTATATTTTAGACAATGCCCATATTGTGACCGAGTTGAGCCAAGCTTTGGTAGAAAACAGAATTTGGAGAGACATTACACAACTGATTGCCCAATGCTTGTGAAATGCCGCTACTGTAATAAAGTTGTTCAAGTAAGAAAAAAGAATTTGGCATTTTGTCAATTTGAAAAATATCTATAGGCAAATTATGATTTAAACTCACATTTAGGCTAGAGAATTGACAAATCATTATTTGGATCGTTGCGTTTTCTTGGAAGACAAAATGAAGCCGTGTCCTTTGTGCGGATTGGCAGCTGATGAGCATGATATTGCGGATGGAGTATCACATCCATTATGTCGAGGTATAAGATGCAACAAAAAGCCAAGTTTTGTCAAAAAGGAATCGAATTCGAGCAAAAAAATATGCAGCGCTCGTTTTGTATGCAAACGTTTTATCCACTATGCCATCGAGTGACGTTCGAGGTCCATGAGAGAACCCTTATAAAGGCATCTTTCTTCGACTCGAAATTTTCGCATTATGTCGAGATATAAGATAAAACTTTATGAAATAATAGTTCGGGATGTGGTTTTATTAAAAACTACGGTACAAAACCCGATTTCTAAGGTCGAATGGCTCCATCGGGTGCTCGTTGGTGTGCTCTTTGTGCTGTGGCTGTTGATGACAACAAGGAATCATGGAAGGTATTTCCACCAAAAAGATCATTGAAATTGAAATCTGAAATCATTTAAGAGACATCTTCAATTAGGACCAAATGGTTGTTACAACAATCCACGTTTAAATGGAGAAGAGGCTTTGTTGGAACGACGAGGTTTAGATGGAAGAGATCCGATGGCACCAAATGATGGCACATATGATCCAAATAATCCAAACGGTAATAAAATGAAAGCTAGTCTAAACTTGCAAAGGCAGCTTTCTTGATACTTAAAATTTTGATAAAATTCAGGGGCAAATGGCGGCACAAACACAACGACAAATAGCAAAACGTCGACGAAAACGACGAGCAAATTGAACGGAGCAAAACTTATTGATGCAGATCAATTGGTTTGATAATATTATAGGAAAAGCTCAAACACTGAAATTTTCAGATTAAAGCCTTACAAGAAGCGCAAAATGCTAAAAGGGCATCAAAAGCAGCAAAGATGAAAGAAATTGAAAATAAAGACGTGAAAGATGGTTGGGTATGGGTTAAGAAAAAGCTATTTGACAATTTCAGCTGTTCCTCCTGCTACAGCTCCTGCTACAACAACTCCTGCTACAACAACAACCACTACAACCACCACCAAATCGAGTTCATAATTTTCATCAATATTTTGGGACAAACCTTGAATTCATTCATTCATTCATGCAACTCTTCTTTCAATCTAAATTTGTTCAAATATGCATGCCTAGTATTCTAAAATTATGCATTATAGTACGATAAATGTTATTCTCAAAAGCTTTTCTTGGTTTTCTTGGTTTTCTTGGTTTCGAACTTTGCTACAACAACTTTATACCTCTTTTCACTACTTTCATCAACGCTTTCTATCGCCGAAAACTCTTTGGCTATGAGTGTACACTTTTCAACAATTCTCAAAACACTTTCAAAAGACATCGATTTGTGTGCCAAATGAATCATCGCTGACTGTCATAAAGCTGGCTGTACACATGAGTCATCCAACGGTTGAACTCTGCATGTTCTTGAGATTATTGAACTCATCATAAACTACACTTTTTGTGTTACCCAAAGCAGCGTGTACTTTGTTTTGTTTAATAGCAATTTCATAAATGAATCTCAATGATCTTTTCGAGACTTCTCTCGTACTTTGGTGAGGAAATTTTGCACTAGCCTAACAGGTAGTGATTTTGAATGATTGTGAGAAAAAAAAGAAAGAAGGGGGTCCATAGAGACGGACACAGTATAGAGTCTGGGGGATCACCCAGGAGACCTGTCCACATCAGAATAGCCGATCGGACGGGAAAAGCCCCTACCCCTTTCTCCCCAAATTTCTCTTTTCTCGTTGTCTTGTCGCGACAGTCCCGAGAATGAGTTGGCACTTTGCCAATCCTCTTCTCTCGTCTTTCTCTCTTTTATCTTTTATCTTTTGACTCAATGTTTTTCTCGTCTTTTTCTCTCTGTTCAATTGACAGTCACAAGTTAAAAATTTTTGATTGACGCCACATTGAACTCGTTGCACGTACAAAGTAGAATATCAATGATTGGACTTCGAAAATTTCCATAAGACTCACAAAATACGAGAAACTTATTTTTTTTCTTGTAGCTGTTTGTGGAATAACTTTTTTTTGATGTGATTTTGAAATATTTGAAAACGCTAAGCATCTAGAGCATTTAAATACTTTCAGAAGTCATCTGTGTGAGATCAAGAAGTATTTGATTATTGATTGATTCCTCGCACAGAATCTTATCAGACAGGCCCTTCCCACTCTTTTTTTCCCTTCTTTTCCCTTTTCTTTTCTGTAATTGCTCGTTTTTTTTTTTCTGTGTCCTCTAATCGTTGAATTAAACAAAATTTTAGGCAAATGACGAAAGGCGCTCAACTATTCTATTAGAATCGTACCAAAGCGTCCACAACGTTACTATTGGTAAGCTTTTTGGTTTGATTTGATGTTTCCTTAAATTGTAGTTCATATTTTAGGAAAGAACTTTTGAACTTTGAGCTTTGAGCTTTGTGTTTTGTGTTCAAATATACCTAACAACATCAACAATTCTTATCAATAAGTTGTTATTTTGTTTGTTTAGGAGACGGCGATTAAAGCGCTGAATGGATTACGCAGTTCATGCGAGCATTCCAATCAATCAATCAGCTTCTATATCGCACACTTATATTTCGAGAGAGTAAGTTTTTGATTTTTAGAAATTAACTGAGGAAAATTTATTGCTTTCATTTTTAGCAACCCAATGAGCAATGAGGCGACGAACATCGGGGCGAGTCCCTCGTCTGAACGTGAAGACAAAGTAAGTGTTTTTTTATCTGAGAAAAAATTTTTTTTTTCTAGGTTATGTTAGATTTCTACATTGGCCTTGGACTTGCGGTATCTTCCTCGTTATTCATCGGTTCCTCATTTATCATCAAGAAAAAGGCCCTAATAAAGGTGAGCTTAATAATAAAATCTTTAATCTTTGAATTGCATTGTAGACCGTATAAAATTTTTGATTTTTATTAGTAATTTATTTTTAGCTAGCGAGCGAAGAATGTACAGCAAGAGCTTCGGAAGGCGGCTTTGGTTATTTAAAGGAATGGATGTGGTGGTTGGGTGTGATCACAAGTAAGACTTTATGCTGCTTTAACTGCTTAAGGTTCTTGAATATTTGAATAAACTTTGAAAAGAAAAATGTTTGTATTAGTATCATCATTCTTTATCCTTAAAATGTTTTGATATGATTTAGTGGGTCTTGGCGAGGCGTGCAATTTTGCTGCTTATGCCTTTGCACCGGCGAGTCTTGTCACTCCACTGGGGGCACTTTCTGTGCTCGTTACGTAAGTCTTTGTTGATTTTTCATTTTTATTTCTTTTTAGGGCAGTACTATCTTCACATCTACTCAAAGAGCGACTCAACTTGTTAGGGAAAATTGGCTGTGCTGTTTGTCTTCTGGGAAGCACGGTTTGTTTTTATCAATTATTCCTAACACTCTTTTTTTTTCATTTATCAACTATCTGAGTTTTCTCTTTCAGGTAATTGTGATCCATTCCCCTAAAGAGGAAGAAGTTGCGTCAATGGCTGATCTCGCCCTAAAAATGAAAGATGCTGGTAAGTTGTTTTCAAATAGTTGCCCTAGCTTTCGAATGGCATTCGTAATGTTGTGATTTTAGCTTTCATTTTGTACGTGATCGCAGTGATTCTGGCGACATTATTCATTGTGATTTACATTTGTCCCCGATATGGACGTTCAAACATTCTCTGTTACATTTCCGTCTGCTCTTTGATTGGATCACTTTCTGTTCTTTCCGTGAAGGTTTGACTTTATTTCGACTTTTCTAAAATTTATTTCTAGGGTCTCGGCCTCGCCATTAAAGAAACTCTCTCCGGAAATCAGCAATTTACGAATTTGCTCACCTATTTTTGGCTTTTCTCAGTTATTGCGTGCGTCTCCGTTCAATTGGTTAGTACAGTTTTGTCAGCATAATCAAGGATTTTTAGATTTATCTAAACAAATCTCTCGACATATACAACACCTCAATGGTTACGCCCATTTATTATGTGTTTTTCACGACTTTTGTAATTTTGGCATCGTCAATTCTATACAAAGTGAGTATTAAAATTTAGGAAAAGATAATATGTTAAAAATAGGTCTGCTTTTTAACTTAAATTTCATGTATTTAGGAATGGAGTTGCCTGGGTGCGTCAGATGTGATTGGAAACGTGATAGGATTTTTGACAACTATAATTGGCATCTTCCAGGTATTTTGATTCTTTTTGAAAATATTGAAAAAATATTCCATTTCAATTATTTTGCGTGTTTTTCTCAAAATAACCCTCAAGATTTGCAAGCATTTGCGAGAAATTGCCAATAAATTTACTAAGATCTAAATCGAGCATAACTTTTCAATGTTTTAGATGCAACTCTTCCGTGATGTAAATATCTCCCTTCGACATGTGCGTGTTCTTCTCAACAAACCATCATGTTCTCTTTCACAAGTACGCCATGATCGATCTAATAATTCTAGATTTAAGGCTTCTTTATTTATTTAGTGACTCAGTTCGACTAGGTATCTATTTTTTTTTATGCTGCTTTCTTTTTTTCAATTTTGGAGAATTTATATAAATCCGGTAAAATCGGTTTCAGCTCGAGTTCCACAACTCAACCAGCTCGTTGGTGGACGACTTGTCTCCACAACAAAGGAGAAATGTTTATACATAAATTTCGATATAGTTTATAAAAATTTATTAGAGCACCAATTTTGTACTAAAATGCACCAAGTAGAAATGCGATTGGAAACCCGTGCATGCAGTTGCGATATACGGACACACACTTTTAATCTTTTTATAATTTCTTCTCCTTGTCGCTCTCCGATTTGATCGATCGATGGCGAATATAGGTACTCCAGTAAAAATGAAGGAATAAAATCAAAAATGTTGTGTAGATAAGAAATGCGAGACTCAGATTGGCTCTCGATTGTTGACATCTAGATTATGCATCATTCTTTCTTTTCTAATCTCACCATCTTTAACTTACTTCCAATCAGTGTTCTGCTTGATCCAAAGAACACAACAAGAAATCATGACTCCGATTAGCATTTGAGTTGTTTGAATGATTGTCACCCACTTTGAGATTTTTCTACAAGTTCAATTCCAAAGTGCTATTTTTGTCTAATTTCAAACCGAGGAACTTTAATGCCCATTGCGGTAAGAGTGTAATAGAAATACATTACAGAATGTGCAAAATAGTTCATTGTTATGAAAGCTCGCCCGGCAGCTGTATGCTCGGCTCCTAAACGCGTATTTATATTCATTTCTAATATGTGATTTGGTAACCTGCGTGAACTGTGTAAATGAGAACAGCCGCATGATGGTAGTAATGCAAAAATATAAGCGGTTTTTGCGTAGAACAATGAAAAGCGTGTCACCGAGTTCAAAAATCTGAAAAGTGATTTACTAGTTGTCACATGGTCACCTCAAAACCTTGGATATCGCAAAAAGTAGACTCCAGAAGGCAGCGACATCATTTGGATGACAAGAATAACAAATCCATTCATAGGGTGTACGGTGTTGCAGCGAATAAAACAAATCCTGGAAAATATCTATGTTCTTGAAGTTTTTTTTTAATTTATGAACCTCTCCAAATCGAATAAAACCAAAAATGCTGAACAAAGCAAGAAAAGCGTTCCAGAAAATAAGTGGCAAGCGAAGATCGAATGCTTTTTTGTGTTCCAAATATGACTGGATCAATTTGATGATTGCAAAATATATCACCTAAAGCTTTTTAATCAAAATTCCCGTACAGATTCCCGTACAGATATGGTGATTGTGTGCGCCCAGTTCTGTTGCAAAAATTTTGTGATCAAAACCGGCTCATCGACTCTTTCAAATGGTAGAGCAAATCTAGAAAAAGTTTATTCTTGAATTAAGAAAGAAAAACTATCGTACGAGTAACGATAGTTTGAGTGAATTCCATGGTCGGTGTGGTTGGTTTTGTAGAGAGAGAAATCGTTGAGGGAAGACCAAAAATCGTGCAAAACCTCAGATGCGATCATTGTGGTGAGAAATGGAAAAAGAGGAGATCAATTTCTATGCGAAGGCACCCATTCAACCCCCTCGCACCCGTCTCTATTCCCTTCAATAAATAGGTCAACCACTTCAAGGACATCTCTTCAATAACAGTTTCAATCGGACATCTCTATCCATCTCTCATCCATTTCCTTTCACTTTTCTCTTTTCCTTATCCACTTTCGTTGAGTATAGCCGATGTTGTGGAAATCGTATTTTAAGCAATAGCAATTTTTATTCGTGTTCACACAAATATATCAATGAGTACTTAATTTCTAAAAAAAAAGCTAAAATTGTTTAAATAATCATTTAAAATGGGTCCATGGATTTGACTAGCAAAAAGCACCATAAATTATGTGATAAATGGCGATAACTGGTCAAAGAAAAGGCACAGATTTGAGTTAAAGATTAGAAGAAATGTGAAATTAAACCTTTAAAGAACGTTTGTGAGTAGCAACTTCAATTGATATGAAAATTCAAACGATGAAAATTCAAGCAATGATAAGAGTGTAGAAGAAGAATGAAACAATCAGCTTTTTCGTCCCCAAACAGTTACAATCATAACGATGAAGAAAATGAGAATCGGTAAAAGGAGAAGAAGAATAATGAGACCGACAATAAAGCGTCGACGTCGCCTCAGCTGGTCGGCTGTTAGATATGGTGGTTGGGATATTAGTGCTGAAATTCTTTTTTTTTTGTGTCTTTTATTAGTTTTACTGGTTCTTCTCGGAAATCTGAGTCTTTTCATTGTGAAAAGCTATCATATCCAAAACCCAAAGCCAATGCGATTCTCTTGAGACTTTTCTTCGAACAAAGAGCTAAAATAAACTCCGCCAATAGGTTTTACGCGCCTGAAAACCCAGAGCACAAATGTTTAACACTAAATCTCATTTGGGGAATCATTTACAGAACAAAAGAAAGATCACTATGCAAAGTGACTGACGAGGTGTTCTTTGAAAAGGAGCGGAGAGCGACTGAACTTTCCCGTTTTTTGGGCACTATGCTCAAACTTATGGGATCAATTTTTGCCTATTTCTGCTACAAATCAGCCTGTCAGAAACAAGGTTACGATAGTTTCCGAAAGTACTCGTTAAAGTAAAGTACTCGAAAGTAACCGTGTTAGTGTTAAAAATTTGTGCCCCAGGGTTTTCATTGGCGATGTTTATTTTAACCCATTTTCCCAAGAAAAGTCCCAAATGAATCGCATTGGCTTTGGATTTTGCTTTGGATTTTGCTTTGGATTCAGCTCCTTTTCAAAGAACACCTCGTCAGTCACTTTACATAGTGATCTTTCTTTTGTTCTGTAAATGATTCCCCAAATGAGATTTAGTGTTAAACATTTGTGCTCTGGGTTTTCAGGCTCGTAAAACCTATTGGCGGAGTTTATTTTAGCTCTTTGTTCGAAGAAAAGTCTCAAGAGAATCGCATTAGCTTTGGATTTTGGATATGATAGCTTTTCACAATGAAAAGACCCGGATTTTCGAGAAGAACCGTTTTACTTGTTTGAGCAACTATACAGTACTTTTGGATTGAGTAGCTAAATAGTATTATAGTGTCGTCCACGAATGTTGGCAATAAGTTAGGCAATAGTTATACTTTTAACTTTTTTTGTCATTTGTAGTGGTCTTGCTTACTGTTTCTATATTGATAGACGGGAGTCCCGTGGCATTCATATTGACTTCGGATGTGGGTGGGTGGATGTGTGGAGCACGAGTGATCATAAATAGCGTGACCTGGTGGACGAAGGGTCGTTCTAGGCGAACCTGCAACAAATGTTGTCATTTAGTTGCATGTTTTCTAGAATAGTTACCAGGCGTCGGAACTGAATGAAATGTGGCCATGTATTCGGGTTGACTCGTCGCATATTTCTCGTGCTCATCGTAAGCCGGCGGTGGGCCGCTCATCTTGCAATCAATCGTTTCCAAAATTTAATGAGTTTGCAAAGCTTAAAGGGTGTTTAAAAGTGTTTGGAAGCTTTTAAGTAGGCCTTCTAAATAGACCTTTTAAATAGATCTTTTAAATAGAATTTATAAAAAATTCTACTATGATTTGAAAGTTTGAAAAATTGCAATCAGCGGGTTGGTTACGAAAAACAGCTTAAAGGGAGGGTGAGGGGAGACTTCAAAAAGTTTGCACTGATCACTCGCTCACTCTTTTTTTTGGCAAAGGGGTGTGATACGAAGGTTTTTCCCCCATTTCCTATCTTGGCACTTATTTGGATAGAACCCCTTCCCAATTTGTGGGTAAATAATATCATTTGACTCACAAACATCGTGTGAACTACAGCTGAACAGCATTTTTGCAAAGATTGTTTTTAATAAAAGGTATCGCTTTGTTGATTTTAGCTTCTACACTTTACTTTTCGAATTTTACAAAGTACAAAATGAAAAGAATAAAAGGTTTATTTAAAAGAGATAAAGAAATAGATTTTCGAGATCCTTAAAATTACTAGATTCAGCGATTGTATTGAAAAGCTCAAAAAAAGGAGAAACGAAAGTTTGAAGAAATGCTATTGTATACGTTTATCTGAATCAACCCCTCTTCGAAATCGATTTTATGAGTGGGGGTGACTTGTACCCACAAAAAGTCATCTTCACACAGCACAAAAAGTCATCTTCAATCGGTTCCAAAATTTGATGGGTTTGCAAAGCTTTTCTTTTCGTTTATTAACAAAAAACAAAACAAAAACGCTTATTAACAAACAAACACCCACAAAGTTTCGTTTATTAACAAAAAAAAAAACGATTGGGAAATTTAAAAGATATAAATTTTATTGTATATTAGTACAGAATGATAAGAAAGGACAGCTAAAACGCATAGTAGATTGATAAGCAAAGCTGTTAAAAAGAAATCTTTCTTCATATCAAAAGTAAATGATGAAAAATCGGCTTTTTTTTTGCCACGTTTCAATCATTTTGTTCTAAGTGCTGGTTAATGCTAAAAATTAGTGTTATATCTCAAAAAATCACTCATCCTCTCTACTTTAATTTGATACCAAAGCATGTAGAAACAAATGTACTGGTGAGATGAGAGATGAGCGTTTGTTTGAGAGTAAACTGTTAGACAATGAAACGTTCCTATGGGAGGCTTCTATTGGGTTGGTGAATTGAAAACTGCCGGACTTTGAACTAAAATTTATTCAACATAAAACCATGAATTCATTCCAAATAATTTCCATTATTATTGACGACTTGTGCCCATTTTACAGGCAATTTGCGGATCCCTCTTTCGTAGTAGGATTTTGGTTTGTGTGTGAGACAAGTGTGAGACTCAAAAATGGAGGGCTGGAGATGTCCCAGTTTGAGCGCTTTCTTCAAAAGAAACCCATTTTGTTGTCAATGGAAAAGTTGTAGAGAATCAAAAATTAGGCTTATAGCCAAATTTCCAAAAAGATATACTTAGTAGTTTCGCTTAAAATGCAAGTATTGTGAAAATTCGTAAATTTGACATTTCTTGAAAACCAGTTTTTGAATCGTTCTGAAAATTTGGATATAAACTTTATTTTTGATTCTCTACAACTTTTCCATTGACATAAAAATGGGTTTCTTTTGAAGAAAGTTCTCAAACTGTCACATATGACAATAGACCGGAGTTTTCAATTCGCCAACCCAATACTTCTACTTATTCGATCACTTTTGCTGCTTCCTTATGTGCCATTTTCTTAGCTTTTTTATCTTGTTATCAGAAATCTTTGAACACAAAAGTTTCTAAAAGAATTGTTATGTTTCAGATGATAAGAATTTTTCGAGATTTTCAATTTAAAAAGATTTACCGTATTTTCTGTAATAGTAGTGCAGTCTATAATAGTAGTGCAGTCTGTAATAGTAGTGCAGGCAGGAGGGGGGGGTTGAAAAAATAGTAGTGCGCACTACTATTACAGAAAATACGGTAATTTAAAAAGAATAGTTCAGCTTATTTTTGTGCCTTTCAAAAAACCGATTTCTTTTCAATTCATCAACCCAATATTAGAGTATTTACGGTGAGTACTTTTTTGGTTTATTATGATGCCTTTTTTGTTTAAGATAAATTTTGCAAATAAATCTTTATTTGAGATCAAGTTTCAGCATGATTGGTGAAAGCGACTGTCGCTATCGCGATTTCAGTGGATTTCACTTTTTGACCGTTTCGTAGAATGTACAACGGGGACGCAACTCGGATTGAATGAAATGACGCATTCAGCACTTGCTTCTCATCCATTTCCACTTCAACATTCTACAAGATAACGCTGATTAAGTGCTCAATCATTCTATTTACACCTCAATCACATTCAGCAGTGGATTAGCGATTGTCAATTCGTCACCGATAGAGAGTTGGAAATGATTCGAGCAATTGTATATTGAGATTGCAGCGCAAAAGCCACTTTCATCAATCACAAGGAAAACTCTGTAAATTGGATTTTTATTAAACTAAACCAGCAACAAATGTTTTAGTTTAGTAAAGTTGTATGTTTTTTTTTTAAAAAATAGTTACCAGGTGTCGGAACTGAATTTTATTAAATGTATACCTTGGCACATCTTCCGATGATGCCACATTGGTTACAATTCTCCCCACTGTATACAATCCATCGTTTGTCCCCGGTTTCAATAAGCCGATCGACTCATGGGAAAGTGGTGCACCAAAATCTAGCAGTAGACTTTCCTATTCGAAATATTCTTGATTGCTTTCCAACAACCTACTTTTGTCTTATTTACGTCTATTCTCTTTGAAGTTTCAAAAATCGAAATTTTACCTAAACTTTTGCTTTAACAGTTGATTTCTTTAAAAAAAAACTATGCTTGGTGATGCCCTTTGAAATAGACAAAATGATCTTGTTGAGAGATTTGAGTCGATCCATAGCAATTGGAGAGAAAGGCTCCAAGACGTGAGCTCTTTTCAAATGAATTATCGCTTCCGCATATTTATCTAGATATCTAAAATTGTTTCATTGTTCAGTGAAGAATAGAGAGGAAAATAAAAACCTGTAAGCTGTGGCAAGATTTAGATGAAGAGCCGGATCATAGCCAGTTCGACGATTTTTGAGTGCTTTTTGATAAGCATCCGTTGCGTTTTCCTGAAAGTTTTTAAGTTTTTAAGTTTCGGCATTTTCTTTAAGCATACTTACAAGTGTTTCAAAATGGTTTTTCTCCAAATGAAAGAAACTTCCAAAACGAGCATTTGCGAGCGAAAGCAAAGCCGCTCCTGAATGCGGATCAATCTCAACAGATCGTTCCGATAATTCGATCGATCTTTGCCTAAAAAAACCCAATTATTTTAATCGTATGTTTAATTCAGAAAACTGTAATTAAATAGAAGATTGTGGGACATTTAATACACACCCCTTTTACCATTAATAATCTAACTTTAAGCTCAAATATCTTGGTGTTGGGCTGTTCAATTTCAATAGTTTTTCTACCAATCGACAGAGAAAGAATTGGCACATCTAATGATACTAAGAATATTTAAATTCGACACCAAGATCTTTGAGCTTAAAAGTTAGATTATCAATGGTAAAAGGGGCGGGGCTTATCAAAGCTTATCGGGCATCTGATAAGCCCCGCCCCTTTTACCATTGATAATCTAACTTTAAGCTCAAAGATCTTGGTGTCGAATTTAAATATTCTTAGTATCATTAGATGTGCCAATTCTTTCTCTGTCGATTGGTAGAAAAACTATTGAAATTGGACAGCTCAACACCAAGATATTACCAATCCAACTTTCTAACTTTGAAAATGTCCGATAACCTAAATAGAAGACTGTTAATTTACCGTATCTCAACAAAAAAAAAGAACTCAACTAGCTTGAGCCGCGAGTTTCTTATCGGTAATCGTTCCAAGTGTGAACCGGATCACTGTAGCAAGAAGGCTCAATAGTTCAGCCGATTTGCAAAACTCATATCCACACTAAAGTTGTTTAAGTGTTTTAAACGGTGAACCTTTTGTATAAAAATTTCAAACCTCTAAACATTCAAGCGCGTATTCAACATCCGGCTTTTTGAGTAGACAATTCCCGAGCTCTGTCCATCCTCGAGGATCGGATGGCTTTAGTTTCACGTATCTGAAAATTTGAAAAAGAAAATAAATATAAACTTCTTTGCATATTCTTGATTTTTTTTTTTAAAACTGACTGTGCCAATAGTTCTTCGCATTCTCCACTATAATCAATGCATAAATTCGAAATTCGTCCCTTCAACAGCAATAAAGACACATCGAAATTCCCTTTATCCTTTTGGTTTAAACTCTGCAATGTTTTTTGTTCTAAAATCCCTGAATTTTTCTATTTTACCTGAAGCAACTCTTGGACTCGACTCTTCACATCGACACAACGATCCTCGTCACTTTTTGTCGGAAAGTTCTCAAAATATTGATCACAAAAAGTCTCGATTTCTTCAATTTTTGCGTCTACACCCTCCATTTGCTCATAACTTCAGTAATTTTCGACTTTTAGTGATTGAGAATTTGAATTTGAATTCTTGTTATGAAAATTCTTGTTATGAACAATATCTATGAACAAAAAAGTCATCCCAGACTATAGACTACATTTTTTTCTCTTCCAATTTTCTCCCCTTCCCGCACTACTTTTTACCCGCCTCTTTCCATAGGTTATTACGAACTGAAAAACATACCATAAATACTGTAATAGTACCCCACCCCCCCTCGTACAGCCGCGTAGTCGCAAAAGTTTTTTAGTATTTCATTTTTTTTTCAAAGCGCCCGTACTTTCAAAAAATGCGTCTTTGGTATCAAAAAATAGTTGAAATTCAGGGCTTTTTTTTGATACCTAAGCGCGCATTGTAGCATAAACCAGTGTCGAGAAAAACTCGTTCAAAGCTAGGCTACGCAACACTCCGCACCGGCATTATGGGGGTGGGGTACTATTACAGTATTTACGGTAGTTTATTAGTTTTATTTGATTTAACAGGAGTTACACAATACAGCAAAACATTCTTTATAGTTGTTTTTATCAAAAAAAAAATCTATATTCAATGATTTCAGCTACCTTTGATCCACTTGAACTTCTTGCTATTCTCTCTAACACAAAATTTGGGCCAACTTTTGTATTACTTAGAAAATACTTTAGAGAGATTGATCGATCAAATGTAGAGTGCTTTTGTAGCCAATTTAACAACATTTATGTAATAAATGATGTGAAAAGGCGAACGGAAACGAGACCGAGTGGCCGAACACGTCTCGCCGAGGTGGCTTCTCATAGTCAGTTCGGTGTCCGAGTCGGCACAGCTCTTCCCCTTTGCGATCTCCACACCCCATCTCCATCCCCATCCCATCCCCATCCCTTCGCCCATTCACTGCCCGTCCCGTTCGTGGTCGCGTCGCAACCTCGCGCCCCTGTGCCGTCCCCTCACAGAGACACCCCTCTCCCCCTCCATTCCCCGCATACACATGCCCCTCTTCAGCACCGGCGGCGATGGCGGCAAGAGGCCGTCTCCCCCAGCTGCCCTTTACCCATACCCCTTGCCCACCATATATCGATTGCTAGCTCAGGGTATGTGAGATTTCTAACATGGGCACCCAATCAAACACCCTTTTTTTCTACTATTTCTTGTTTGATCCTGCTTTTTGTATCAACTAGGTCTTTAAGAAACCTTTTTAGATCTGAAGCTTCTTTTCTCGACCTCAGACTCGGGTTCTGTTTACTAATTTTTTTTATGTATTGCCAAAGTGAAACCGTTTTCGTTTTCGTGTAAGACTGAGCCACTTTTTTGTGTGGCATTACACAGGAAATACGTTTCAAACAAATGACATTCTATGCGCGTGTTACTTGAACTTTTTCTATTTATGATTGTTTTCATTTCTATCAGATACATATAATATTTTAGTGATTATATAAAAAAAAAGTTTGTAAATTTCAGGATTAGCCTCGTTTCTAGTCGATGACGAAATGATTCAAGTGAAATGCGAATTTTGTATAGGTGACAACGAGGAGCGTTTCGAATTTGAAGTGGTGTGTAATGATTTTAGTAATGATCTAAAAGAAAACAAAAAAAGGATAATATATTGAAATCAAATACAGTCGACTCTCTCTAGAACGGAACTCGATCTAACAGAATGTAAATTTTGGTCCCAACCGACGCTAAACTATATAAAACGGCACTCTATATAACGGAAAGCTCTTTATAACGGAAAGCTCTATATAACGGAAACATTTTCTCGTCCCTTCCATTCCGTTATAGAGAGAGTCGACTGTATTTGATTTCAATATATTATTCTATAATATACTGTACTATAAAAATACAATAATTTCTAGGGACATCAACTCCGAGATCATCTAATCAAAAGTCATGCAGAAGAAGTGGCTCGGGCTTTTCTCTTTCCCAATATTGCTGATCCTAAGCACATTTTTTTGATGGGATGTGTTGAATTTAACACCGCAACAGTAGTAAGTACAAACTTTAAATACATAATCAGAAACAATGTTGAATCTTGCAGGGAGTTGATGGAGAAACGTGCAGTTCAGCTGAACTTTCCCCAACGGATACAGTGTCTCCGATAGAAGGGCTTCCCGTCGAGGAAGGCTCACTGGATGAAAATGATGATGAAACAGGTGTTGGCGTAAATCTTGTTGATGTCATTGCTACTCTCATTGGTTCTACAATGCAGCCAACAATTGTAAGACAGCCATTTCTCTGATTGTACCATTTTTACGATGTTTTAGAATGGAAAAACACGCAAGAGAGGGTTCCCTTCGCCGACAAAAGATACACCAATGAAACGCTTTCATAGAATTAACGATGATGTTATGGTAGTAACATTTTTTTTTGTTTTTTATAACAATTATAGATTAGGTGAATGATGGATTTTCGGCTCATTCAACCTTTGATCCGGCATCTTTATTCGAAAATGCTGAAGCTTTGGCTTCTGCTAGTGGAATGGTCGAAAATGGGCGAAAAATTAAAGAAGGAACTTGCAAAGTTAGTTCAAATTTGAAAGAGTTTTCTTTTTTACAAACCTTTCTTCAAATTTAGTCGTGTCATCAAGGAGTGTCGATGTCAGGCCGTTATCGCCACGTTCTTGAAGTTCATGTTAATAAAGAAGATATGTTCACTTGTTCGGCTTGTGATTTTTCTCATTGCAGCTCAATAGCCGAAGCTAGAAAGTGAGTTAAGCACCGAAGTTTCCTTTTTGAAGCAGAAAATGAACTTTACGTTATTTTTAGTCACGCCGGCACTGCTCACCCTGACGAAAACGCGTGCCCACAAAGCAATGAACTGAAATATCGAACGTTGATTCAAGTTGGAATTCTTTTAGATGTAAACTTTGGACTTTAAATTTTAGCAATGGATGAGAAGATGCTTTGATGATTGGAAAACAGTAGATATTCGGCCTGAAGTACAAAGAGTCGATAACGGAGATTCTGGGGGTGCGAGTGAGGAGCCGGAGGTATCCGAGAGTTAAATATTACTCATATTGACATTATATAAGCAATTTGCATATCTAAGCTATTTTTCAGGATGATTTACTAGAATCGGATCCAAGAACACCTCTCGGAAATATCGATCCAGCAAATGTTGATGAGAGAACGTGTCAACTTTGCTGGGAAGAGAGCAGGTAAAGAAAGAGATTTTTTTAAAGTGAATAAATCACCTCAAGCTAATAGTAAAAGCAAATTTATAAAGTTAATAAATTACCTAAAGCTAAGCAGAATTTCTTTTCAGATATCCAGGCCGACATTTGGCTCAAAAGCATCTACGAAAGCCATTATATGAATGCCCGGTTTGTGAAGGATTCGGCAGTTATGAGAGTTGCACTGTTGTTAAACATATGATGAAGGTACTCGAAATAAAAAGATTTTTCATTATAAATGAGCTTTAGGTGCATACAGAGGTCGAAGATCCGCAACCAATATCAAACCTTGAGAAATATGCTGAAGAAATTCGAGATCTACAGGTGATTGAAAGAGTCGGAAAATCGAAAATCGTGCTTTAGATTCGTTGTTTCCCGAAAAGACCAATGAAGCTAGTGAAAGCTTCAATGGGGTCAAAGCCAAGAGAAAGACATCTTTGTAATAAATGCAACACTCAGGTGTGTTGTGATATTGAAAAAAGAAAATTCAGAAATGACTTTAGGTGGCTCAATCTGATCGCCAAAGACATGTCTACCACAAACATCTTCAAAAGACTCGCGTATTTGAGTGCCCAATCTGTGATTTTGCCTCAAATTATGATGTTCACAGGTTGGTGAAGAGGAAACAAAAGAAATCTTTCAATTTCTCACTTTGTTTAGAGTAAAATGGCATCTCAAATGGGAGCACAAAGAAGAGGGAAAAGATCTCGAGCCGGTCTCGCATGAAAACGAATATCGGTTAGATTTGGAAATCTACTGTATATAAGAGAGCAGTGTCTGTCTGTCTGTCTGTCTGTCTTTACGGTCTCTCAGCCGTCTTTTGACCAATGAAGCTAAAATTTCTTTAGAAACCCTTAGAATATATTGTCGTTGTGTCATTTAAAAGAAGAAAATTAAAACGTCAAGGTTGAGTACGGGATTTGAACCCGGCTCTTGTGAGCTGTAGACGCACGCCCTCCCGACTGCGCCACGGCAACTATCCGTCATTCCCAAAACATCTAGCTAGAAAAACCCGCCGTTAGGCTGGTAACAACATAAAAATGGTCGCCATGTCCGTCATTACCGTCGTGGCCGACTGGCTAAGAGCCCCTGTGTCTTAGGGAGGTCAAGGGTTCAATCCTGCCGTCTAGATTATTGGTTCTTCTTTCCCATATAAATGGTTTTTTATTTCCTACATTTAGGGCTGAGGGTTTGAGTGCTACCGTATTGTTTGTACTAGATTTGTAACGAAAACATCTGTCGGTCTTTTTTTGCCGTTGGCAATGGCAGATTTTTCGTGCCTTTCTCAGCAAGAACCCTTCACTTTTGACTATTTTGGCTATCATTCGATGCAGAATAAAATTGCGCGTCGAATGATACCAAAACCAATTCAAAGTGTCATTTTTCTGCAAAGTTATGAGGAAAAAAGGAAGGCGTTTTTGTTACAAGTTTAGTTTGTGCCACATTGTTTGTGAATAAAATTTATTTTTAAAAATAAAGAAAGCACTTCAGAGAGGCGATTGATCGATTAAATGAAGAGTGCTTCCCCGGATGGACACATCGACGGAAACCATTTTGGTGGTTAGATCAAGAAGAAGCTCAACAAAGGGTTTCACAGGTAAATAATCTTTGCAAAAACATTTACAAATAAATAGATTCGAGCCAAAAAGAAGAAAGAAGATACATCAATGGAGCAAGACTCAATAGAAGTATTTAAAAACTCTTTTAAACAAAACGAGGAATGATTTTTAGGAAGAAAGTGTTGAGAATGGGGTCGATGAATTGCTGAGTCAATCACTCAGTGAATATGCTTGCAAAGTAAGAATGAATAGTGAAAACGTTTCAACGAATCGTTTTAGTTGTGTGGAAAAGATTTCAAACCATCAGCGAATTTCCTTCGACACGTAGCAAAAGAACATCTCTCGATACCGCTTTATCAATGCCCACTTTGTGAAGGCTTTGGCGCTCAAGATGCCTACGGGATTCGTGCACATACTTTGAAAGTAATATTTTAGAGATATTTTAGATACTCAATGTTCATTTCAAATGAGAAATATCAATAAAACTTTTAGGCTCATTCAAGAGCTGACGTGCAACCGCTTTCAAATATGGAAACTCACTCTGAAGAGATTCAACGTGTCTATTCACAGTGTTTCCCTGGACGAAAGTTAAAGGTATTTCAAAATTACAAAATTTTTGAACCTATTTTGGTGTAGAATTTACCGGATAAGCCGCTTAAACGTGAAAAATCATCGGCCGCACAACGAGTCGAGACAAGGTCAAAAAGACGAAGCAATATTGCTGAAAGTTCCAAGGTAATTCAGTTTATCAGTATTAAACTATTCTATTATTAAACTTTCAACGTACTTGAGTTAATCAATACAGTTAATAGTATCAGTACAGTTATAGTATCAGTACAGTTTCATCTGTCATGCACCGCTGAAAAGTCATTAAACCTAAAATGCACAACGAATTTCTTCAGTCAAAACAAGACAAATCGGAGCCTCGTATCTCACGTGGTCGTCATCGGTGGGATGATGATGACGGGAAAGTTGTGTGCACGCAGTGCAATATGGAGATGAAAACTGAGGATCGACAGGTTAGGAATATTTAAAGATCTGAATTAAAAACAATTCTCATTAAAAACAATAAAATAAAAACGATTCCCAGAACAAATTTATTAGTTAGAAATTGCAATTTAATTTTTTTAATGATTCATTTTTTTGTAGATTCATGTCTACCGACATCATCTCAAAGAGTCACGATTGTATGAATGTCCACTCTGCGATTTCTCTCATCATGCGTGCAGCAGTGATGTCCGCTCGCACATAAAGTAACAAGAAATTGCGCGAGGAGAGACTTTTGCAAAATAAAAAAAAAATTCAGATTTGTGCATCGTAATCAATCGGAAGTGATGCCAAGAGCAAACTTGCTCGAATTTTCGGAAAAAATCGCAGAATGGAACGATAAATGTTTTCCCGGTTGGATCAATCGAAGACTTCCCACAATTGCGGCCGAAGATTTCTCAAGGTAATTTCTGAGCAAAATGAAAAAATTGATCTTTTTATAAAAAAATGAAATTTAGTTGTCGTTTATGTGGAGAAGAGGTGCGACAAACTTCGCGTCATATTGCAGAAGTCCATTTAAAAGTGAGATTTTATCGCTTCAGTAAGATTACCTTAAGAAATCTTCAGTCACAATTTTGAGATTATCATTAATTGCTAAAAATTCGCTTTAGATTTCTCTTCATCAATGCCCACTTTGTGAATACGGAGCCGCTGAATCACGTCTTGTTATCAGACATTTACGCAACAATCATACGAAAAAGGAAGCTAAGGTAAGAGAAAAAGTTTATAACTATTTGTAAGAAGCTGAAGAGATTAACGTGATTATTTATTATTAGATTTATTAGCATGAAAGTAAAGATGGACTTTTTTGTAGAAAACGAGTCATTTCCACGTTCTAGCAAACAGCTCTTGTTTTCTAAAGTGTGAATACAATGCTATTTCGAGCTTTAGAAAACAAGAACTGTTCGCTAAAATGTGGAAATGACTCGTTTTCTACAAAAAGCCATGTATAAATGAAAGTTATTTCAGGGACAAGAACCAATCTCAAACGTTGCACTGCGAAGGGCCGACTTTTCAGCGGTGCATGACAAATGCTTTCCAGGAAGGCCAAAACGTCTTTCCAATATAACTATATCAGAAGAAGGTGAGGAAAATGAATAAGAATGACTCAAGAAAAATCTAGGAAGACGAGCAAAGTGTCGAAGCTGTGGTTCAACAGTGAGCAAGAAAAAGCGGTTGTCACATTTACTCGAAAGACACCTCAACATAGCATTCATAAAGTTTGGAGTCAATTTTTCGGCCTTAAAGAAATGCGTTCAGGTGTAAATCTTGTGATTTCACACACACCTACGATGAGAAGCTTTTGAAAGAACATATTACTCAAAAGCATGAAAATAGCGGGAAAAATCAGGAAGAGATCTCATTGAACAAGGTTAGTGAACAGTTATGAACAGTGAACAGTTAACAGAACAGTTAAACGGGTATTCCGGTCCTCAGCGAAATCCCATTTTTGCTTCGAATCATTATAAGCTGTTCTCAGCGAGAAAAAAAAAACTCTTTAAATACCCCAAAACAAAACCGTTAATTAACTTTCAGCTGCTTAGCTGAAAAACTTTAACGGTTTTTTTGCTGGTTGTTATTATACTTTCAGAGTACCGCCGCCCAGTGTCTCCCTAGTCTCCCCCTTGCCATTCGCAATCTACGTTTTTTTCCATTTTCTCTACTGGATCAATTTTTATGATTTTAGTACCATTCGATAGAGAATTAAATTAAGCATCGAATGGTACAAAAATCATAAAAATTTATTCAGTAGATAGCGAGAAAATGAAAAAAACGTAGATTGCCAATGGCAAGGGGGACACTTTTAGGGGATACTGGGGGGCGGTACTCTGAAAGTATAGTTGTTATAGGGCGAGAAATCATTACCGTAGTCTAGAAGGAAACTACGGTAGAATTAATTCTGTTATATAAAGGTTCCGTCACATTGCATTTTGGACTCGAGAAACGCATTTTTTGACAGTTTTTCATAGTTTTTCCGGGATTTTTAGTGTTTTCAAGGTTTTTCTTTATGCAACCCTTGTAGAGGAGACTGAATCGATTGGTCGATGTCGATTGGTATACAAATAGAGTCGTGCGTCTAGAAAATCACTTTTAGAACCGGAGTATCCCTTTAAAGATTTGTCAATGATAAATTCATTCATCAAAAAACAAGACATTTCAGCATTTCGGTGAAGTCTCCGAGTGCAGTCGAGCCTGTTTTCCTGATTGGGATCTGAAGAAAGCTGATCTTCAGCATTACTCTTATGTACTGTAGTTATGTACATTCAGGGGCCGTATCTTTTCGTAAACTTTCCCCAAACAATTTCCCATTTTCCTTTCCATTTGCTGATTGTTTAATGTGTTGTTAGTGCTTTTTGTGTTACTTGTTTATAAGGGTTGTGCCACAAATATCAATTCTTTTCATTCTGCTCACATTCATAATGCTCTTTCGATAAACAAATTTCACTCAAAAACTTCTCGTGATCATTCCCCTTTCCTTTTCCCCATCAGTGATCTCTTTCATTTATATTTTTTTGGGGTTTTATCATGACATAATTATTTTATCTGTTGTAGTTGCTAAATAAAGTTTTTTTTTTATTGAAAGCATTTCAATCTTCAATGACATTTTTGAAAACGAAGCACATCATCGAAACGTCGAAGATATTTCAAAGCTGACATTAATGGAGTTGTTCTCCCATTCACGCCAAAATCGGAAAATAAAGTCCTACAATTTTGGAAAATCAAAGGTTTAAATGATTATTTACTCAAAAGGAACAAACGCATTTCTCTTGATATTCAAGCAAGTTTCAACCTGAAAAAATGAAATTATTAACGGATTTCAGTTAAAGAAAGTCGATTACATGGGTCTTATGATGTGTCGAGTGAAAAGTGCCACCAATGAGCAAACCGATCGCATACCATTTATCATTGATTCGACAAACCACTGGGGCACCCGAATCACCCTGAAATATTAAATTTGAAAAAGGTTACTGTTATCTTATCAGTTGAAATGTTCTACGTTTGCTGCTCAGCTCTATTCTTGCTCATAAGACACGTTATTTAAAATGAATGCGAGTTGCGAACTTGAATGGATAGTGATCTTTCTTTGATTGATTAGCAAACCTGACAAGCTGCAGCATTGCGATGAGTCGATTCAATGAGAACGGTGTTGAATGTAGGATCCCCTTTCATTGAAATGATCTCTGCCACCTTTTGCATGGGTGGCCATATGGTATAGGAAGGATCTGCATATTTTCGGATAATTTTTACAATAAATTACATTTATTTACACGAATAACAATACACAATACACAAGCACAACCCCTAAGCCCTAAGCCCTAAATGTAGCGAAGAAAAGCCCAAATCTATGGGAAAAAAGAAGCACTGATCTAGCCGGTGGGATTGACTAAGGATCGACCTCCCGACTTAGCCAGTCGGCCTTAGCTCTTAGCCAGTCGGCCTTAGCTCTTAGCCAGTCGGCCTTAGCTCTTAGCCAGTCGGCCTTAGCTCTTACCCAGTCGGCCTTAGCTCTTACCCAGTCGGCCTTAGCTCTTACCCAGTCGGCCATGGCAACACCAAATGATAATGAGAACGAGAGGGTCTAAACCTCACCTTCGGTTTGTCCAAATCCAATGAGAAAACATTTTTTTTTCGCCATTCCATCAGTCTCATTTGTCCAAATGCTTGGAACTGGGCTTTCAAAATTCGGATAGTATACGTTTTTCTGTACGATTTACCGTATTTTTGATTGACAATTCAAATCATTCAACGGGATTTTCCTTTCCAATTGCAAAAGTGCCCAATCGTGTTTCTAATGAAGTTGATGAAGAGGAAAGTAAAAAAAAAAAAAGTAGAATTCAAACCGCAATTCGATACCACTGTTCACGTGGGTTGTAACTCGGCGAAATGTGCACATAGTTTGCTCGATAAAGCTCTAAGGATATAGTTCCGTTTTTTTTGTTGTTAAAATTGGATGAAATTAGAATCACCTTTATTGTAAGCGATCATCACAATTGCTTTCGGATCTCTAGAAATAAAAATCTTTGCATAAAGGCTGCATAAAGGCTGTCTATAAAATTTTCAAAAAAAAAAATTCGTTTCCCTAAAGCAGTGTGCAGCGGTGAGAACGATGTCGGGTGAAAGAAGAGTGCCACCACAAATCGAGATCGGCTTTGAAATGAACGGCGGCAAGAAGCGATATGTTTGATCGAAACGATGAAATTCACTCTCCTGATTCCACAATGAGATCTGCAGTGCCCATGGGAAGAGTGATCATAAAAAAAAGAAAACACTTTTTTTAGAGTAAAAACTAGAGTAAAGTAATAGGGGTAGGCTAGTTTCCGCAACTTTTTTGCGCAACTGGGTCGTTTGCCCAACTCACCATAACTTTCTTCTAAGTCGACCAATCTTTATGATTTCGATGTCATTTTGTTGCACTTATTGAGATCTACAAAATGAGACCAAAATCATAAAGATTAACCCACTTAGAAGAAAGTTATGCCGAGTTGCGCAAATGACCCAGTTGCGCAAAAAGTTGCGGAAACTAGCCTACCCCAAGTAATATCGACAAGCATATGGTAGCTTTCTTTTTCTTTTCTTATGAGCACTTTCTAGAAAGCACTGTAATCAAATGAATCAAATGAATCCTATGGAAATAGTTATCTGACTATTCATAAACCGACCAGTGCTCTCAACTTCTCCAAAACGAATTCCATCAGTAATTGAAAATTTATATGAAATTAGAAGAAAAATAGCATTTCCCACATTGCTTGAAATGAAAATCATTCAATTTTCAGCCTCTTTATCATCGAAATTTGTGAAATATTTTGTTATGAGTCATAAATCGTTTCCAATTCAGATTCTCTCAATATCTTGCATTAAAGGAAAAAGAATCAAGTGCAAAAAATGAATGAAATCTTTATTTTTCATCCATTATTTAGTCCTGCATCTCGCTTGAGCCTAAATTTTTTTGATTTTTTTGATTTCTATTTGTAAAATCGTGTTTGCTTAAACTGTAAAACTGTAAAACTGTTACTGGTTAACTGTAAAATTGTTTACCGTCACACAAGTTTTGTCTCCAGAGAGTTTGTCACTAAAATTTCGTTGGTATGTTTTTTTGGGATTAAAATAAATAGCGCAAACTCACTTGAGCTGTAGTTGAATTTGATAGGGTTGATCGTCTTTGAGCAGCTTAATGATACTCTAAAGGTCTTTGTCATTTAGACTTTGTCTTTGTCACTTTGTCAAAAGCAGCACACACACACACACAAAAAACCAACGTCAAATTTGGTGAAATCCATCGTCAGTGGAAGAGTTTGACGGCCGGTTTTCACTGTAAATTTATTTGTACAATTAATTCGTTTCCCAAAAAAATTCCCAAAAATAGCAATAACTGTTAATGTTGACCAACCAGGACATGGCACTCCCTCTTCACATGCATCCAGATCCTGAAATAAATGAAAAATAGAGGACAAGAATTTTTTTGCAAGACGCAAATAGCATCTATTATAGATAAGAGCAGTGCTCGTCGTCTGGCTTTTTCTTGGGCCAAAAAAACCAAAGTTTTTTAACTATATTAAAATATAATATAGTTGTGACATTTAAAATCAAAAAACAAAGAAGTCCAAATTGAATGGCAGTACGAGGGTTCGAAGCAGGATCGCGTGGGCTGTAGAAAAGCGCGCTCCCGAGTGCGCCACGGCGAAATGCCTCAACTCCCAAAATATCTGGCCAGGAAAACCCGCGTTAGAGCCAAATGGCGGGTTTTTCTGACTAGATATTTTGGATATTTTTTTAGCCAGTTGTTTTCTTTGATGTAGCGCAGTCGGGCGCGCACTTGGCCGAGGCCAACACAATCCGGGTTCGAACCCCCACAGTACTACTTATTTTTTTCTTTAATTTTTATTTTAAATAGCACAACTATATTATATTTTCAGATTTAATAAAAAAAACTTATCTGGTATACATATAAGTCGTTTATTTGTCAAATGGCTTACGGAGAGAAGTCCCAAGGTCGGAACTGCGGTCCAACCGCAAGAATTGACCACCCACGACCAGAGATTCACCGTGGCACGCAAATTTGGCTCATCGTAAGCTCTAAGAGTGTTTTGAGCGTAAAAGCTGGGTTGAGAAACGGTTTCTTTTTGTTTATTATTAAACATATAGACACTTTTGACTCACTTTCCCTGATTATCCGCATCAACGGTGACAACAATGGGCTCCGTCAAACGAATCGGGTATTCCTCTTTGCCTAAATGGAATATTCACTTCGTTGTTTTGTTTTTTTCCCTTAATTACCATTCAGATCTGTAATTTTAGCTGAATAGTATTGTACCGGACCGCCACACGAAGACCACCAACTAAACTTTTCGATGTAAACGAAAATCAGATACGAAACTAGATATGAAAGTGTTTTTACAAAATCAAAACCAACGTATAAGCTTTTTCGGTTCCATTTGGCCATGCATCGCAGGCAAAAGCCACAGAAACGAAGGTCAAAAGAGGATTCCTTTCATTTTACTATGTTCGCAGAAAAGAAAATATGTCAAACTTTCTTATCAACAAATCGAAAGGATTCCTGAAAAAATTTTTTTAAGGCTTCTTATCACAAAAGCGAACCTCTTTGCGCGTCAACGTGCTGGCAATTTTTGATCAGCACCTTTTTCTGATAAATTCATGTGCAAAGGTCAAAGCTAAATATAATGAAATATGACTTGCATTGTCTTTAAATGAAATAAACTTTAAATGTGTTTCTCTCAAGTAACACCTTTTTTTTAAAATGCACTTATTTGAGAAAAGAAAAGTAGTAGTTAAACCGTTAGTTTTCATCAGATCAGCCCATTGACTGAGCTTTGTGATTCTTCATCGAATGGTACCAAAAATTGAGGTGATCAGATGTAAGCTAGCGGTTTAACTACAATAGTTTTCTCAAATAGATGCATTTTAGAAAGCGCTTTACTCGAGAGGAAACGTTGGTTAAAACGAAATGTGATTTAAAGTGCATAACGTGATTTGTGAAAGATTTATTCGGGAATTTTCCAATCAATGAACTTTAGTGTAGGTTCGCGCTTGTGCAATCACACCTAAAACTTTCTTTTGCACTTTTCGAACGCAATTTTTCTATGTACATGTTTTTGTCTTTCGTTTTGTTATCGTTGAGGACCATTTCGAGTTGATACGGAGAGTCATCTTTCAACAATTTGATGATCGACTAAATTTGGCTTACAGATCGGCTTATTTTTGACAGATTTTTGGTGTTAATTTCGATTTCAGATACCCACATCATATCCAGTGAAATCCATTGTGATGGGAAGAGTTTGACGACCGGTTTTCACTAAAAACACACTTGTTATACATTAAGAATAATTGTTTCACCCAATAATATTTATAGATTAGACAAACAAATACATCATCTTATGTGTTAAGATTGACAAGAAAAAGACCAACCTGGGCAAGGAACGCCGTTGGTGCAAGCATCGAGGTTCTGAAAATGCGGTGGCTTTTTGCACAACTCGCCATAACTCGCCATAACGGCCAATCTTTATGATTTCGATGTCATTTTGTTGCAATTGTTAAGATCTACAAAATGATACCAAAAGCATAAAGATTCATCCATTTAGAAGAAAGTTATGGTGAGTTG